CCAGAAGCTTTACCCCCCCAAGAAAAACACACAAAAAAAAGCAAACACCAAAACAAAAAGCACATGAGCACATGTTGGTTCCTCGCGGCGAGAAGCCTTTAAGGCGCGGCTTCTGCGGTGCCAGGAATTGCCGCGGAAGTCGCGGCTCTGGTCAGGTGGCTGCGGCCATCACAGCGGCGACGTTCGCCTCGCCGAGCAGCTCTGAAGGGACACATGTGACATTCCTCTGGATGTCTTTGGCCTACGTCCTTCCCCACCCGTTGTGCGCGTGCTGTGGAGGGACGAAATCCGTTCGCACCACGAAATGAAACCATGGTTGAAGCCACGGTTCGTTGGTATTTGCAGGGGAGTCGAATCATTCCAGGGTTTCTTAGGCGGTCCAGGATTTCGTCCATCCACAGTATCTGCCTCAGACATGGTGCGGAGTTCATCTTCGCCTTTTACTACTCCCTTGCCGGCTGGTGCTGAAGTTCCGCCGCGACGTCCACGCCGTGGTTGGCCCCTTGAAGACTGACCGTCGAGCATGGCTTAGGTGCATGATCCAAGGCAGTTGCGCGTCGGCTGCCGGCAAAACTTGAATTTTTGATCCAATTCTGCTTCCACGCCAATGTTTAATCCAATTTGGATTCCCACCCCCAACGTTGGTTCGATTTTGACCCCCCTCCCCCCATGTCGCAAACAAATTCGAGCGAATGTTATTTCCTCCCGCCCCTCCCCCCCTCCCCTTTTGCCAAATATTTTCATGTTCCCTCCCCCCCTCCCCACCCCCCCGGGTTTTACCAAACACCCCCCCCCAGGTCTTTCGGGTTTTGCCAAACGCTTTGGGCTCATTGGATCCGATCTGCCAGGGTCGCCTCAGCCCGTCCAGCCCCAGCCCCAGCGGCGGCGACGGCAGCCGGCCCTCGAGTCGCCGGGAGCGGGTGACGGTGGCAGACGGCCGGCCCGACTTGCGGACACCCGGCGCGGGCGCCCGAATTGTGGGGTGTGTGTGTGTGTGTGTGGGTGTGTGTGGGTGTGTGGGTGAGTGGGTGTGGGTGTGTGGGTGTGTGGGGGTTTGGGTGTGTGTTTTTTTTGGTCTGTTCTGCAACCTCCTGTTTTAGGGGTGGTTTTAGGGTCTGGGCCTGTAAACGGTAGTTGGGTGAGAGCTAGAGGATGCCATTTCCACATGTCGCTTTGGTCATCCCCATTACACACATCAAGGGAAGTGCCACATCCACTTTCACACTGGTAAACCCACGTCAGTTTGGGGGAGGGGAACCAGACGCCATGTGTTGCAAACCCTATTTCCCGGGCCTTCCGGACCCAAACCGTTCTGGGGGGAGAGGGTCTGAGTGCTTCCAAACTGATTACTTTGGCGGTGGGTTTTCATGTAAACAACCATTTCCGGGGGGCTCTTCATTGAGCAATCTCGAGTTGATGGTGATGACTTGGCTCCATTTCTTCGATACCAATTTTGAAGCGGCTGTCCAGTTCACGGTGAATCTGATCTGGGGACAGCTTGTTGCGGCAGAACCCGACATCGGTAGAGGCTCAAATCGGGCAGTGAGGAGGTTCGATGTGTTGCGAAGGATCCATGAGAGGCACAAGGACGGATCGCAAGTTGAGTTTATCCAAGAACCAACTGTTGCGTGAAGTCCCGGTTGACCTTGATGACCTCATCGTCTTCTTGATGCCTGACAACCTGTGTGTCTACTCCTCGGGCCATTTGCCTTCACCGCTATTACCAAACACCCCGTGGTTTGACCTTCGTCTACCCCGCTGGTTGTCTTCAGCCGCAGCTCTGGTTGTTCGTCGGGTCTTCAATCTGTGACCTTTGGGAAGTGGCAGTTTCCATACTGCAAACGCTTAGCTTTTTGCCACGGGGTCAGCGACCAATCCAATTTTGATGTCTGTTTATGGCAACACACACGGGCTCCTTGAAAAAGAAAATGCATTTTGCAGGGCTGCCTTTGTTTCTTTCGATGTCAAAGTATGTGCCACAATGTTGGGAATGTACTTGCATTGACTCGTGAGATGCCATGACAGCGGTGACCTGTGGGGCGGATTTGTGTGCGATGGGGTGGGCAACATGGCCAAGAGTGGTTGCAGTGGCTTTGAAGAAAACACCTTCCAATCTGGAGGGATACTTTCGGCAATTTAGCTTGGCGCCCCATTCCGGGGTCTTCCTCTACAAAGGGTTTCTTAGGTTCCATGTGAAATCTGGGAGCAAAGGGGGTGTATCTCAAATAGGACCCGAGAATGGCGGTTTTCTTACTAGGGAATGAGGGAATGAACCCAGGGGTCCCCTCAAAGCAAACCACCAGTTGGATGGTCTATAGGGGTCATTCCATTTCTAATTCCCTGCATCTCTCGCACCAGCAAGTAGTTCATGCAACCATTAGATTCTGGTTTGGATGGTTGACCAAGTTGACCAAGGGTTTGAGCCCAACAAAAGCCTTGCCCAAGGTGAAAATCAAAAGCCTGGCCCAGGGTTCCCCCCAAAAGCCGCTGCAGGGAACGACAGCGAGGAGGATCGACGCCGGGAGGCGGCGATGGATGTTGAGCCTTCCGAAGGCCGTCACCCACTTCGTGTGCCAAAGAATTTGCGATTTACAACAAGCTTCCAGGGGGGCGGGGGGAGGGGGGGGGGCGGGGGCGACCATTTTCTGTGTATATATATATATATATATATGTATATATATATATATATATGTACAGCTACATATATAATTACGCATGCATGTACAGACGCGCACATACATGTGTATGATAACACGCCCTCTGAGTCATTTCCACGGCAGGCCATGGAGCGAGAGGAGCGGATGTTCCGCTTTTGCCCGGAGGCCGCTGGGGATGTGGGTCGCGGCCACGCCCAAAAGGTCGCCTTCAGAGAGATCATGACGCAAGATCTGTCAGCGGGAAAATTGAAATTGACCCCCCTGTGTTTTTTTTCTTTTTCCCGGTGCTCCAAGCTTTAGAGGACGATGCCGGGTAGAAAGTTGGGGGCAACATGTCCCTCTAGATTCAGGACCATGTTTCTGGCCCGTCCTGGGAGCCACCCGCAGCCTTTACCGGGCTGGCACAGCTCTGCCGAAGTCCATCGCTTCACTCGACTCGACTGGGAGGACCTGGTGCCCCCATCGCCAACGAGAAGAAAAAATGGATCGGTGTCCATCTCCCCACACCAAGCCGGACCTGTGAGCTTCCCCCTTCACACCATAGCCCACCAACCCACCAACCACTCCCCCCCGAAGAGACACAGACACCCCCCCCCCCCCCCGCAGCCCCCAAGGGCTTAGGAGTTCCCCCCTTAACACCGACCCACCAACCAAAACGGGCTACCCCCCCACCCCACCCCCAAAAAAGCCCCCCTCCCGAAAGACCCACAAACACACACACACACAGAGACCAAACAAAAAGAAACAGAGCAGAGAAAGAAGTGCGCGGTTCTGGACGTCTCTCTGTGGCTCTGTGGCTGAGGTGGTGGACCACGCCTTCAGCAAGGAGTTCCAGCAGCTGCTGCAGCAGAGCCTGGTGCGGGGCGCCTCCAAGGCGAACGAGTCGGAGCGAGCGTGGCGAGTGGGTTGAGGCAAGTGCCTGGTGCAGGATGGTTAAGGTTGGTTCAGAGGGATATACATATGGCCATGAATTTTAGTTGGGAACCACCTCAAAAGTGATTGGTGGACATGAAACCCCACCTAAGTGATGTTCACCAAAGTGTCCATTATTAAAATTCGCTCCCATATATGTGTATATGTATATATGTATATTTCTTCGGGCTTTGATGGGTTTGGGGTTAGTTCATGGGCTGGTGTCGTTTTTTGGGAGGTAAGGTTAAGGTTTTAGGTGGTTTGGGGTGGGTTTTTTAGGGTGCGCGGAGGGTGGAAGGGGGTGTGTGTGGCACGTTGATCCAGCATATCAATGTGTCCGAAACACCCCTCCCAAAATTCTAGGGTAACTTCCCCATTCTTTCCAAGGATCCGATTTTTTCTACAAAACCACAAAAAACCCTGGGAAAATGCGTTTTTGTCCTCCTTCTTTTTCTTCTTCTTCTTCTTTTTTTTCAGAACGATGGCTGAAAAGAATGGGGAATCAACCAGAAGAAAAAATATGAAAATTGGCCAAGCAGCCAGAATTGGGCGGGGGCGGTTTGTCTACGCCCTCCCATCAAAGCTCTCAAGATCTTTGGCTTGCAGTTCCGGTCCCCAAACACTTCCCTAGGACACTCCCATCTGCTATGGGTGTTGTTCAAAGGGAGACCCTAGTGGTTGGTTTCCTTCTGTTCGCCCTTTGGGAGCTTCGACAAACCATGAATCCGACGCTCTTTGAGCCCACGTTGCCGGGTGATGGTTGGTTGGCCCCCAAAGCACCTTTGGTTTGGTGTTTTGCAGTCATTTCGACCTTTTTCCTTAGGATACGAAGGCGTGCGTCGAAGCTCGGGACCCTTGAAAAGGCCAACATGAAACCAGGTCCCACGGTTTGTTTCCCAAGAACCTATTTTGGATTCCTTCCCAAACACCTGTTTTGGATTCCTTCTGAAATGGACCCCCCCTACTATGAAGTTTACCAAGGGTTTATGAACCCTGCAGCTCCCAGTTGCTGGGCGGCACCCACTTTTCAAATTTTCCCCTTCGATGGCTTGCCGCTTTTTGCCCGAAAGAGCTCCCGAAAGTTCGGGCAGGTGGCACGTGGGTCCCTGATGTTCCCTTGACGCCTTGAGTTAAGCGCAGCCTTCTAATACCTTCTGTTTGTGACTCACTTGGCAGTTTTCGGCTATATCCTTAGACCAAGGAACCACAAAGGTCAGTCGAGTGGAGCCGGTGCAAAAGCAAGATGAACTTTCCAGAAACTGTGTCCATTGGTTTTGTTCCAAAGAAGCTCCAGCGCTTCCGATGAGCCCTGTTTGTTGGGAAGCAAATGGGCTCAGAGTTTCTATTTCTTATTTCCCAGATGTCTGCAAGGGATGTTGAAACCCACAATGGCGTTGGTGTTCCTTTTGTTGCAAGGCGCTCGGTTCTGCCAGTCCGGATTGGCCCAAGCCGGGCAACGCTGAAGCGCGCGGCGCGGACCGCGGAAGTTTTGGGGAGCAATGGCCGCCTCCTTTCCGACGCGCCCTGGCGGAGGTGTCGGCTTCTCCTACATGTTGTCGTTTCACCTCCCGTATATGCATTTCTTTTTTATGACTCGACTTCTCTCTCATTGTTGGTTTGGAGGTTGGAGTGGTTTCTTATTGACTCTCGAGAAGAACCCGGAGTTAGAACGCACAAGCCACAAATCCCAACCACCAATTCAGGGCAACCTGAAGATACGCCCCAAACACCAAGCCACCAACAATCACTCCAACATCACTACAAGGGGAAACACTACGAGCACCATTTGGCACAAGGATTCAGGATTCACTTTGAACAAGCCAATTTTCTCAACAACGGAAGTGGATGTGTGGAGCCTTTCAAGAGGATGGTAGTCTTCCAAACCCACCATGATTGTCGGAAAGGCGGGGCGAATCACCACGAGCTCATTTTCGGTGCAAAATGAGCTCACCCGTGATGAAGAATCTTCACCAGGGGTTCCCTTATCTCCAGTTTGGGAATTCTAGGAAATTGCGCGGAAGGGTTACCTGAACAATGCCTGATATACTCGTTTGTACATTGCTAGACATGGTCCATGTCTTTCTCTGTTTTGCGTCTTTGGTTCTTATCATTTTTGGTTGTGAGTTCCAAAGTTCCTTAACTCACTTCCTGTTGGGTTGAAGCTCTGTGCTTCAACGCTAATTACCTGCAAACATCCAGAGGGACTTTCCCCAACGGAAAACAATAGTGGCAAAGTGGTGAATCGCCGAGGAACCCTGGAATGATTCGATTCCCCTATCAACAAAACTATGGTTTCAACCACCGTGGATGGACGAAATCCTGCACCACTTAAGAAACCGTGACAAACCATGTTTGGCATTTACAGGGGAATCAAATCATTGCAAACTGGATTTCGCGACCGTCCACAGTTCCAAAGTGGTGGCGAAATGGATTTCGCAAACACCCACGGCACCATTTTCCTTTTCCCGCCCCTGTCCCCTGTCAGATTCCATGTGAATTGGCTGTGGGTCTCATTGTTGGTTTGGAGGTTGGGGTGGTTTTTCTCATGTACCCTCTACAAGAGCCCGGAGTTCGAACCCCCACGCCACAAATCCAAACCTCACCTCACCTCACCTCCCTTCGACTTCCGACCCTTCGCTTTTTTGGCCGACCGCTTCGACCGCTTCGACCGCTTCGAGGAACCAGGCCATCGTGGTGGGCGGCGGCCTGGGCGGCATGTCCGCCGCCAACTCGGTGGTGGAGAGCGGGGGCCGGGTGGTGCTGCTGGACAAGTCCTCCTTCTGCACCTCGGATGCTGGAGAAGAAAAAAACAAATGAAGGTCCTCTCACTCGGGGAGTCTATGTGTTTGTATGTATGTATGTATGTATGTTTGTTTGTTTGTTCGTTCGTTTGTTTGTATGATTGTACGTACGTATGTTTTGTTTGTTTGTTTGTTTGTTTGATTGTTTGTTTGTTTGTTTGTATGCATGTATGTATGTTTGTTTGTTTGTTTGTTTGTTTGTTTGTTTGTTTTGTTTGTTTGTGTGTATGTTTGTTTGTTTGTTTGTTTGTTTGTTTGTTTGTTTGTTTGTTTGTTTGTTTGTTTGTTTGTTTGTTTGTTTGTTTAGTTGTTTGTTTGTTTGTTTGTTTGTTTGTTTGCTTGTTTGTTTGTTTGTTTGTTTGCTTGCTTGTTTGTTTGTTTGATTGCTTGTTTGTTTGTTTGTTTGTTTGTTTGTTTGTTTGTTCGTTCGTTTGTTTGAATGAGAAAGGTCGCTGAGTAGTTGAAGGGCCGTTTCGGTTGTGAGTCGGTGGCAATCAAATTGTTGCCCGAAATAATTGTGTATGTCTCCTTGGTGTTTGGGACGCCGTTCGCGCTACAGCGTTGATTTCTTTGCCTCAAACAAGTATCCTTCAGATTTGGAAACTTTTGACATCTAGGGCGTTTGGAATTTGAAACACATACCCCCCGAGTGCATCTTCTGCAAATGTCCTCGAGCTGAAGATTTGACACCTTGCAGCTCTTTTGTGGGCCCCTTCCTGAAGCGCAGCCTGCCCGAAAATACAGATCTGACCCCTGATTTATGAAAGTTAGCAGTTTGTTTGTCTGTTTGTTTGTTTGTTTGTTTGTTTGTTTGTTTTGTTTTGTTTGTTTTGGTTTGTTTGTTAGCCCCAATCCGATCGTTTCCTTTTTGTTAAGCCGCCATTTTGGTTTGTACTGTTGGGGGATGGACACAATTCCAGGGTCTAAAGAGTAAGAATTGGGTGCACCCAATTCGGGGAAATGGGTTTCCTTTGGGCCCGGGTTCCCCATCAGAGCTCCGGCAGGCCATCGAGTGAACAACAAGCTCGGACTGGTTTTGGCCAGTCTCAGGTGAATTTCATGCCCTTTTTCAGCTGGCTTCTTTGTTTGGGGGTATAAACCTTGGCATCCATTCCAAAAAGCAACTTCTCAGGCCCCCCAAAAGCAGCTTGGTAGGGGAAGAACCGGGGGTTTACTGCGCTCTTTTCAAGACATACACCCAATAAAGGCAGCTTCCCCCCCCCCCCCGACAAAAAAAGAAGACAAGAAGAAAAGCAGCATCCCCCCCCGAAACAAAAACAAACAAACAGACAACAACAACCAAAAGGCAGCTTCTTCGGGTGAAGGAACCCCCCCCACCCCAAGCGACGAACACATCCGCACCGCCGGCCTCGGGTCTGTCTGCGGCTTCGGTCGGCGGTCGGCGGTCGGCTTCGAGGCGGCGGCAACAGCACAAAGGCCACCAGCGGCATCAACGGCGCCGGCACCAAGCCGCCGGGCTGAGTGCGGAGTGCGTCGAGTCGAGCGGCGTCCGGGGGAGGGGGGGGGGGCCTTTGGAGACCTCACGGGTCGTCGTGTTTTTTTAGGGAAAGCCCCAAAAAGGGAAGCCTTGGTAAGAGGGATAGCCAAGAGGATACCAAGGGAAAACCAAGAGGGATACCTTGGCAAGGTTTAAAGGGAAAACCAAGAGGGATACCTTGGTATGTGGTGTGAAAAATATAGAGCCAGATGGTGATGCTTCTGTTGTGATAGGCAAGGTCACTTTGACCGATACGGATTGCCTTGCCATGCCCTCGCAGAATTGGCATTTCGGTTCTGTGAGAGGTTCCCAGTGATCCAGCGTTCCCTTTCGGATGGCCTCTTCTTGACTGCTATTGGGTTGAATCTTTAGACTTTAGCTTTTTGGGAAATAAAGGTGTTTTCCACTAAACCCCCAAAAAGTTAAACTTTTTGCAGGGGGGTCAACAGCAACCAAGTCTTGGTGACTTTAGATCCTGGAGGGGTCCCAATGAGACACCCTCATTCTATAGACTATGGGGTGAAATGGGTATGGCTCAAAATTCAACCACAGGTTTTGGCCCGTCTTTCCATTTGCCGATCGGGCAACCCATGTTGGGGTTACCCTACTTTTCGACAACCACAGCCAAATGGGTTGCATCTGGAGAGGTAACATGGAAACGTGGAGACATGCGGCATCGCCAGAAACTCGTTTTGGCTTCTGTCGAGAAAGGGTGCGAGAGGGCCATATTTGCGCTGCATCCACAAAAAAAACGTTTCCTGGGATGTTCCGTTGCCAGACATAGGTGTGGCCCTTTTTGAGTTTTTGCATGGGTTTCGGGTGGAATCCGATGACTTGGGCCCATCAAGGGTTGTGTGGGACAGCAGGAATCCTGATTGCCCACTTGCGGGCATGGACTCTGCGCGCTGATGCGCACCCCCACTTGGTCTCGTCCCCTCCAAAGCAGTTCTTTTTGTTTTGTTTGGGCAGACAAAACGCCACATGACCATCTGAACATATGTTTTTCTGCCTAGACGTGGGCAAAGTAGTAGGGCTTTCCGGGCCCAAAAATGAGGACTCAGAAGGCAAAGGGCATCCCGGACAATGCCGACATCTTCACCCAGGACCGAGACGTGGGCGAGGAAGGAACTGCGCCTGTCCATTTGCTTATCTTGGTGGCTCCCAGCCATCCTCTTAGTTTTTTAGCTTTTTAGTGTTTAGTGGTAGTTTCCATTTACCCCACCAAAAGTTGAAAACTTCTACTTCTTTCCAGAAACCTTGAGCAAACGGAGGAGCCTCTCAGTGAAGTTGCGAAAGCCTTGGGTTGCCTTGTGAAGGGTGGACACTTGGGCCAGGGAGTCCCAGTTTCTCTGAGTGCTCTGGGGGGTGACTCCTCCCAAAATCAAATGACATGTCAACGGGATGGAATGAGTCAACCCATTCGTATCACAACGGCCATCCATATCGAAGGCAGGGTGAGTGGTTGGTCCTTTGGCCGGTGTTCAGGCTGCTTCAAGGGTTTGGGGGCCTGCAAACTCTGGCGTGTTTTTGCGGCCCGTTCTACACCAAGTTCCGAACTGTTCATTCTTTGGGAAGACCATGTCCGTGGCAAATCCACTCAGTTTTTGAGGACATGTCTTTCGGGGGTTCTTTACAGGGGAAATCGCATGGAAACCAATCTTCTGGGATAGCTTCCAACCATGCTGAATCCGCGGTAAACAAACAAAAAACACCACTTGCACCATTTTCTCGCATGCGTAGCCGAAGGGTTCCTGTGAAAGAATAGGGGTCTGGAGTTCGGCATCTCTTCGCCAGATGCGTCGCTGCGTCCGCAACCAGGTGCCGCACCGTTGCAAAAGGCTCACAATGTGCCATTTGTATGACTTGCAACACGTTGTTTGCGTTCTAGGTCCCCCAGTAGTGCCCTTTTACCCTTTATGGGAAAAAATGGGTACCCTTATTCTAAACTCTTTGCTGGAGGACCTAGCGTTGCTCCTGTGCGCAATTTGTAGCCTTTTTGGGAAGCTGCATGTCGTTTCCCTGCGCATCTGCAGTGTTTTGGAAGGTTGCGTGGTTGCGTCGCCGTGCCTTTGTGATTTGCGTCTCAGGGGTGGCCGTGTTGAGGTGTTTTGCTTGGCTGGCGCTTGCAAGCGTTTGCTCGAGCATGTATATTTTCGCTCGCTTTGGCGATTGTCAAACTGCTCGCAACCATTCTGGCGCCGCAGTCCCGTGCTACTTTCCGGTAAACCAGTCAAAGTTGGATTTTGTGATGGGGTCAGATTCTGAAGCTCACTGTGCGACAGGCGCAGAAGTTTGGAGCGATGCGATCCAATTGCGTGGCAGGCGCACGCACTTTCGGTGGTGGCGCGTGGCACTTTGAAGCACATAACGCCAGAGGAGGTTCAGTGTTTTGGTCGGCGATGTGCAGATTTTGTGTCAGGCGCAGCGCTGTAGACTTTGTAGAGTCGCGCAAGCACGACCGCAGGAGAGTTGAGAGAGGATAGATAATTAGACACACACACACACACACTCTCTAATAGATAGACAGATGCATAGAAAGTAAGAACGGTAGATAGATAGGAGAACAGGCAGATAGATAGCCTAGCTTCCAAAGTTGAGCTCAGTCCTCTTGTTGCTTCAGCAAGCAAGGTTGTTCACCTCCGCTGGCTGATTCCCTGAGGCAAGAGATTCATTTAAAGCCCCCAACAATGAATTCCCCAATGAGCACTCATTTGTATGGCTCTCGAACAGATTCAAACCAACAAAATGGGTTTCCCTGTTCTCCCGCAGAAAACAACTGCCCATTTGGGTGTTCTCAGCATTAGGTCCGTAGTTTGCGTTGGTTTGCTTAACGGTGTGGTCCCTACAGATTTGGCTGTGGGTCAAAAACCAATGGGAACCCATTTTGGGGTAGGTGCACCACCCATTTTAGATCCGATTTTCGCGGTTGGATTGGGATGTGCACTGGGGGTACGATTTGGATTTTCACCCATGACCATTCTTCCAGATACGGGTTTGAATCGGGAGGACACGCTGAAGGGAGGCGCCAAGAAGCCAGAACTCGCGAAGCTGCTGTGTGTGAACAGCGCCGCGGATGTGGAGACTTGGCGCTTCTCGTGGTTTTTCGTTCCCCGAGATGTTCCCTTTTTTAGGTCTCCTCTATGGCTGTGGTTGTTAAAAATCGGGCTAACCCCCAAAAAGGCCTTGCCCGATCGGTAAGTGGAAACATGGACGATTTAACCTGCGATCCAATTCCTGGTGGTGATTTTTTTGACCCATATCCATATGGAAGTTGCAAAGGCACCCATACAGGGCAAAGAAAAAAATCCAAAACGAGAGCGCGGAACTGGAGCGGGTTTCTATGTTTGAGGGGTGCCTATTTTGAGACAGACCCATATTTTCCCTTCACTGGTGTCTCCTCCAAAACTATGGTGTCTTTGTCGCGCCGAAGGGTGATTTATTTAAACCTCAGGCAAAAGCCAGTCCAGGGAACACACATATCCTTTGTCAGGTTTGGTTGACAATACGCGGAGTCCACACGTTTTTGCTTCGACTTTCCTTTGTCAGTGCCACCTATTTCGCGAAAGCGAACAAGAAACACCACCCCGCGGGCCGAAGCCGACCGGATCCGACGCGATCTCCCACGCCTCACCTGGGATGCCCCATCCCCAGACCTAAGACTTTGCAGCAAAGAAGATGGAGGTGCCAACTTTTACCAATTTCTTTGGTTGGGAGGGGTTTCCCTGCTAAGATAGACGACAGAGAAAAAAAGAAAAACAAGAAGAAACAAAAACGGGTACCCTTATTCTAACCTCTCTACTGGAGGACCTAGTGGACTTTCTCTGGCCAAGTTGTTTAAGCAGTTTGTGAACTTTCAGCTCTACACCTGATTTTTCTATCCCCCCTTTAAATCAGGATTATATGAACACAGTCGCAATTCCCCCGGGTCCATGCTCAATTTGGGAGAGAGCATGGGTGGCACATATCCAGGTTGGCCGACCCAAACCCCGACCGAGGACAAGGGCCGTTCTTTGGCCGGGGGTTCAGTCTCTACGTGATTTTGTGGGAAATATAGCGAGCCCGTTGTGAATCTTTCTAAACATTTTGGTAGAACTGCAAGTGAATGATTGGTAGTCCAACATCAACTGGGAAATCAATCACCCAACCTGGAAGGAAATTCGAGTTTACCAACTTTGTGGATGGCGGTGCATGGTGCCACATTGCATCCTTGCTTGACTTTATTGTTCAAACGATTGTCAAGGGCCAGCGTCATGGTGTTGCCAAGTTGGAAAACCATGTCCCTTTCCGGCGAAATGCCAACTATGTAAGCGTCATTTTGCGCAGCATTAGGGCATCAGCCTACACTTTCGGGGGTACATCTCTTTGGGGGCCCTTCCAGATTGTTTTTGGTTGTGCTGGTGCAAGCGGCAGTTTTCAGCGTACATTGCGATCTCGTGCTGTCTTCCGGTGGGTGTTGGTTTCTGTTAGGCTGTTTGTTTGGTGGATTCTCTGAAACGCGATCCCTGGCAAGAATGGGGAGGGCAGGACCGCAGAAAATGGGACATATTTTTCAAATTTGCAAAGGGAACTTGGGGTTACAAGGTTCGAATTCCTGGGTTGGGGGGGTTATTTGGGCTGCCATTGGCTTGTCTAAACACTCTCAAAGCTGCCGGGTGCAACAGGAAGCTTCGAAATGGGACATAGAGCCCCCGAGCATAAGGCCGTGCTAACATCAGGCCGGCATGGCAAACCTCCGGAAGATAGCTATAGTCCAGTGTGGAGCGTGCCAACTGCAAAAAAACGAATTCGACACGGGCCTTTTGGTGTGTGCGTGGGTTTTTGAGGCTCGGTACCCTTCTCAGGTTGGTTCAAGCGAACCGATGTCCGAGGATTGGCTGGTGGAGAAGTTCAACCTGGACCTGTCCCTTGACCGCCCCCGCACCCCCCCCAAACGTTGAGAGGGGTAACCATCGTTCGTTGTGTTTTCTGGGAACCTGTTTGGGGTTCAGGGGAATCTCAGGAATCTTGCACCCGAAATGTTGTTGAGGGTGATCCATAGGGTTGTCAAACAATATTCACAGGAACTCACCCAAATTTGGGGGCTCTTTTCATCTGCTATCTGGAGCCAGAGAGAATGTCGAGACATCTGTTCCAAACCCGGCTGTGTTTTGTGCCATGTTGGGACCAAATTTCCGAGGCTTTGTACCGGTTCTTGGCGAGGATTTTCCCCATTTTCCCCCTGCCTAAAGCTTGGGGTCGCTAGGCCCAACTAAGGTTTCGGTGTGATTCGGAGGCTTTCGGAGAGGCGTCCGGAGGGGTAGAGAGGGGTGTGGGCTGTTTGGGGATACCTGGGCTTAGAGCAAAGCTCTAAAACAAGAAAATCTGTTTGGAGACACTAGCATACCGGACTAGAGTAGAATGGGGTTGCCGGGTACTCTGAGACTAAGTTACCTCAAGGGGGGAGAATGTGCAATTAGTATCCCTTAAATTGCAATTTGGCTGCCAAAAGTACTCAAAAAGGCACCAGCAGTGAGAACCTTCGAGCGTCACTTAATGAGACCTGACATTTTTCCCCACAAAGACGGAAGCTCATGTCGCTTTCTAGACTCTGGTTGAATTTTTCGAGATCCCATGGAAAATGATGAATTGGACCCCTCCAAAAGTGGTTGGCTTGTGACACCCGTCCATTTGTTTAAGTTTCTTTTTGTCATTTCCCCCCTGTTGGTTTGAAAGGGAATCTGTACTGGACATATTCTTATTTTTTCCAGGGGGCGAAAAAGCAAATGGAAGCAACCTTCTTCGGGGGGGTCTGGTGATGTTCAAACTGAGGGCAGCCTGGGTGGCTTCTGCTTCCTTGGTTGCGCATATGAAGAAAAGCTGCCGGTTGCCCAGATATCGCAAATCGACAAAATGGGGAACACTCTCAAAATTTGATTGGGTGGACATGAGAATCCCTATGTACATAATGCGCACCACAGCTAGGTCCCCCAGTAGTGCCCTTTTGCCCCTTTTTTAGTGGGGGAGGGTTTCCCTACCAACATAGACGACAGAGAAAAGTTGGTACCCTTATTCCAACCCCTCTACTGGAGGACCTAGACAGTGCCCCCCCGTATGGAGTGAGAAAGTCCTGAATTTTCAGTGTACCGCAAAAGGGGGGGCAACCGCCTGAGGTCGCTGGTGGCCAGGTTGGGCGGGCACTCGCAGCCCCGGACGCACAGAGGGAAGGAGCGGTTCCCGGGCATGACCATCACCTACGCCTTGATCCAGATGTTGGAGAAGGCCGGCCCATGGGACGGACATTGGGCGGGGTGAGTTGGGGGTGGCCGGTGCTTGCAGCATGGGGGGCGGCTTGGGGCGAGGGAGAGGGGGGGGGGAGAGCCCAAATAAGGCCTGAATCAGGTCTGAATAAGGTCTTGATAGGGCTCCCTCCTCCCCAGCCATGATTGCACAAAAGCCAATGCCACGAGCATGTGGCGAAACAGGTGGGGCCCCTGGAGTGATGTTTTAAGCTTCTCATGCGCAAAAAAACAACAACTCCGACACACCTGCAAACTTGGCGCCAGCAGAATTGAAGCTTCCGCCGCGGCCAGTGTGAATCATTCGTCTTCCAGGGCCATTGTTCCCCTGCGCCAAGCAAGTGGCCGTTGACTGCTCGGCCGGTGGCCACCGCTTCGTTCCCGAAGCTCGCGGCAAGATGGGGCCCCCGTTCCGCGTCCCAGTCCGGAGTTTGACTTTGTGAGTTCTGGTGATGTCCTCCCTCCCAACATCAGGCAAGCTGATGGAAGGCCTCATGCCCATCGGGCACTTGCCCACTTGCCCCCGGCCACATTTTTCATTCGCAGGAAGAGACTACTTTAACTGACTTCCTGAGTTCATGAACTCTAAACTTTTTGGGAAGACCATTGTAGTGGCAAATATACAGTTTGGACTTTTTTTGGGCCATCCACTCAGCCGGTGAGTTAATGAGAATGCTTTTGTCGCAACGGAGGCTTCTCTTTGCGTTGCAATTTGGAAGTTTCAACGGTTCCAATCAAGACACGCTCGACCTGGTGCACCCAGGTTGGAAGCCCTTGGGCTGCTTGAGACGCAGGCTGCCAGTCCCCGAAGTCCCTTGTCGGTTTCCCAAGTTGGACCTCACCTTTCGGAGGACGATATTGAGTTGTCATGACCGATTTCTTCCAAATTGAGTAGGGATTCGGGAACGCTCTTGCGGATCTTCCAAGAAAGGGAAAGCAACAGGTGGTTTTTCAGCTGCTGTTGCACCCGTGGCGGTTGCAACTTGGCAAAGGCTGTGAAACAAACGCCATGGGTTGAACCGAGTTTCAACACACACTTGGTTTTTTGTCGGGAATTGTTCAACCCATGTTTTTTTTGTTTGTCATTTTGTTGTTTTGAAAGAAACGTGTTTTGGGTTTCAAGCCATCTTTCGGACAGAGCCTCGGTTGCGTTTCTGGCGCGGGTTTCCCCACCGGCTCCAGCCTCCAGCCCCCCGCCCCGAAAGCGGGCGTAATGCAGGTGGCGGAGAAGTCGGACCTGGCGCGCATCATCACCAAGGCCAAGGCGCGGGGTTGTTTCTTCGCTGTTTTTTTTTGTGGGTTGTGAGGGGCGGGGAAGAACTTTTGTTCTTTTTCTTGGGAGGGGCGGGAAAACCCGGTAGACGTGCCCTTTTTTATACCCCCTACTAGAATCGACTAGAGAGAAAAGGGTATCCTTAGTCTACCCGCTCTACTGGAAGACCTCCTCTTTGTGTTTGACGAAGAAACCAAGAGGATACTTGGAAGCGCCCGTAGGACACCAATCATTTGAGGTGGTTGTGGGAATGAGCCGTTTGGGAGTTCCCCAAAAGACACAAGGGAAGGTTCAGTTGGGCATGATTCCCTCACTGGTTGAAGCAGAGAGTGCCCGCGAAAAGAACGTTGGTTGCTCTTTGGTATGACCTACAGTCTACAGCCTTTTAACCTGTGAAAAGACTCTTCCCCCAACTATTCAACAGTTTTCAAGCTTTCGGAGAGGTCTAGGGGTACCTTCCCCATTCTTTCCAGGCATCCTTCTTTCTACAAAACTACCAAAACCGTGGGGAAACAGCTGGTTCTTGAAAAGAACGATGGTTGAAAGGAATGGAAAAGGAATCAACCCCTAGAAGAGGGGTTAAAGACCCACCGAGGTTAGTTCTTTCGCCTTGGGTATGGAAAAAGGGGTGCGGCAAGGTCTTCAAGCTGGTCCAAGAGGGCAAGGCCTGCGTGGGCTGCGTCTATGAGAAGGGGGGCCAGAACTTCCAGGACGCGGCTGGTGGCTGGTTCTTGATCCCAATCCGGAGTAGGGTGCGCCCGCTCCGGAAGGCACCCCTTCCAGATCTTACTCGTGGGTGGTGGATGGAGCTAGTAGGCATACGATGGCCTTTCTAGCCCACCCCTTCCAGATCTGAGATGGCTAGATCCTTCACATCCTACCTGGATTTGCGCCAGTCAGAACCTATAGGACACATGAAACTTGACTGTTGGAAGGCAGGGGTTCTGTGAACCTACTGGCAGGTCATAACCATTGGGAAGGAGCCACCCCCTTCTCACCCCAACTCTACGGTTGCTTACTAAGGTTGAACATCCCAGAACTGCTCCCTAATTGTCAACAACCACCCCGGGCATTTTCAGCACCCACCACCCACTCCACCCCACCCTCCCCCCCCACTTCACCCCCCACTTCACCCCCCACTTCACCCCCCACCCTCCCGCCACCCCCACCCTCCGCCCCAGCCCCACCCTTCGCCCCACCCTTCGCCCCACCCACCTCCCACGCCACCCTGGGACCCCCACCCCAGCCGTGGGAGGAGTTCGGCCCGGTGATCCTAGCCTCCGGCGGCTTCGGCGCGGACTTCACCTCCAACTCCCTGCTGGCGCAGTACCGCCCCGACCTCCTGCCACTCGCCGCCCGAGAGCGGCCGGAGAGACCGGCGGGGCATTTGTGGCGGGTGGGGGGGGCGGGCTGGGTCGGGCCGAGTTGTTCCTTTTTTTTTGTTGAAGGGGAGGGGGGGGGGGAAGGGGAAGGGAATGACAGCCGCTTTTGGGGGTGCCGCAAAACATCGGAGTACGCGTTTTAGTGTGGGGGCGGGGAGTCTTTACAGGGAACCAACAGGAACCCACCGCCGTTTCAGGGTTGCAAGTTGTTGGGGGTGCCTTGTTTTGGATTGATCAGAGAAACCAACGGGACGCACACATTTCTCTGTTTGTGTGTGTGTGTGCCTTGTATGAGACAAATCGAAGCGGCACGGACGTTTTCATTGAGCCATAACAGGGACACCGAGAGTGGACGGGTCACCAGCTCCCGGTTTTGTTGGTTTGTGTGGTAGTGGGGGGCTTGAAGGGAAGACTATCTTCACTCCAAGCCCAAAAACAGGGTTGGTGCTGGCATGCGGTGGTTTGCTGGTGCTTGGTTTGGGGGTGCCAGAGAGGCGTGGGCAGATGTTTTTTTGGGTTGGGGAGGTTCTTTGGCAGCTCAGTGCCTCCATAAGAGCGGGGTTTTGTTAGGCTGGAAGGAGGGATAGGAGTGAACTGGGTAGGATTTTTGATTGGGGACCGAAAGGGTGCACATCCCCATTCGGTGGGGAGGTCCCCCGTTGCAATTCATTCCAAGGATTGGCCATTATCTAGACCGCCTGCAGTACTCGAAGCGATTTTGTTCCCCCCCCCCCCGCAAAAAGTTGGGAGGGAAATGTCTGGATTCCAAAAACAACAGATGCATTTGCAGGGGGGTTCCTAGTTTCGAACATGTCGCCATGCTTAGGGAGCAGCGAATATGTTTTTCTTCGGAGCCTCAAATATGGTGGATCTGAGCGCCATGGAAAAGTCCGTCGGCGCAAAGAATTGAAGTCGGTGAATGACTTTCACCCCCCTCCTCCTTTTCGCCTTACGCTCCCAACAAACATTGCAAGGGGACAACATGTTTGCGCTAGGAGGACAAATGGGTTGGTCTCCCTCGCTCTCATCATATGTTTTCTTCTCCGTTAGGTGGTTTCGGACCCTTTTTTCCTTCTTCGGACCTCAGTAATTATCTCCTCCTTTGAATTTGATCACTGTTTGAAAATCCAATGTCCTAAATGTTTTCTATGAATGGTTTTGCCCCCACCCCCCGCCCTTTTTTCCTGGTGGCTCCCTGCCATCCACGTTGTTTTTAGTTTGTTCAGTGGTAGTTTCCGAGTTTCACCTACTAGCAGCTAGTCACTTTTAGCAAGGGATCCGAAAACGGACAGCCCCCGTGTTCTCCTTGGACGTCTCTGTGGACCGTTCTCAAAAGTGATTGAGGCATTTGCCCACCACCAACGGCGAGCACTGCACCGGCGACGGCATCAAGCGCCCCGTTTGGCAAGCCGAAGCCCATGGCTTGAAGCCGAAGCCCATGGCTTGAAGCCCATGGCTTGCGCAGAAACACAAGTTGGCCAGGACCTAGGTACCGGTTTTCCAATTTCCCTCCGGCCAAACGGCAAGGCCCAGCGAGGCACCCTGGCCAGGCCCTCCCCCCGAAAGCGGGAATCGCGCGCTTGAGGATGGGCGAAGCCATCGGAGCCAAGAGCATCGACTTAGAGTGGGTCCAGGCCTGGGCTTGTTTCATTCATATGTTCATTTGATTTACTTGTTGGTTTGTTTGTTTGCTGGTTTGTTTGTTTGTTTGTTTGTTTGGTTGTTTGGTTGTTTGTTTGTTTGTTTGTTTGTTTGTTTGTTTGTTTGTTTGTCGGGTTGATCTTTCTTTCTTGCTTTCAATCTTTTTTGCTTTCTTTCTTTGACAGCGCTTTTTTACAGTATTTCAAACGGAACACCTCGAAAGGTGGTCCCGTATTATTAAACAAAACAAAGCATACTGTGGATGGACGAAATCCTGCACCACTTTGAATTGAAACCATGGGAAGCCATGGTTTGCTGGTATTTACAGGGGAATCGAAAATTGGGTTTCTTGGGTGGTGCGACATGGATTTCGCCGCTCACCCCGCCAGGTGCACCCCACGGGCCTCGTGAAGCCGGACGACGCGGACGCCAAGATCAAGTTCCTGGCCGCCGAGGCGAGCGGCGTTTTTTGTTTTGTTTTTTTTCTCCTTCCTTTGTATTTGTTTGCTTTCTTCTTTGTTTGGATTTTTTTAACTTCCAAATGAAAGTTTTATTGTTGGTGTTTTTTCTTCTCCGAGAAGCCGTTCCCATGGGAGGTGTTCATATTCCAGTTTTTTAGCGTGTTTGGAGTTTTGTTTTTGGGGGGTGGTTTTGAGAGTGTTTCAAGTCCCAGCTTGGTGTGTTCCGAGTCTTTCAATCATCCCGACTCGGGGTTTTCTGTTTTCACATGAGGGTTGTCGGAGTTGTTCACCTTAATTGATGCGTTTTGAGTCTGAGCTTTTCAAATCCCAACTTGGGGTTTTCTGACTTCTTCCAACTTGTGCTGTTTTTGAGTTTTTCACATCCCAACTTGGGGCTTTCCAACTTGGGTTTGTCCGAGTTTTTTCACCGCCCAACTGAGGTTTTTAGAGTTTTTCGCATCCAACTTGGCTTGGTCGAACCGCCCACTTCCTTTTGGCTTGTCCCTTGAAAGAAACAAACCAATCCGCCGCGCCCCGGCTAGGCGCTGCGGGGCGTGGGGGGCATCATCCTGAACGCCGAGGGCAAGCGCTTCTGCACCTCGCAGGTTTTTTTATTGGTTTGCGATCTCCTTCACTGATTCAGGGCTCCCTATATTTAATGGCCTGCGGCCTGGTTCCGCCGCCCCCACACACCTTAGAATTTCGGCCCGGGACGAGAGAAAGCACGCGATATGTAGACAGACACAGACAGACACAAAGACACGCAGACAGACACGCAGCGGGGGGGGAGGGTCTTCGCGGACACGAAGACAGACGCAGATGCGCAGGCAGACGCAGACAGAGCCAGACAGACACAAAGACACGCGGGGGGGGGACACGAAGAAAGACGCAGATACGTAGACAGACACAGACAGACACAGACAGACACAAAGAGACAGAGACAGACACGCAAGGGGTCTTCGCGGACACGAAGACAGACGCAGACAGACCCAGACAGACACAAAGAGACACAGACAGACACGCAGGGGCAGGGGGGGTCTTCGCGGACACGAAGACAGATGCAGATACGTAGACAGACATAGACAGACACAGGGGGGGGGCGGAGGGGTGGGGGAAGACTACCCGAAGCCTAGGGAAGAAGCCCGAAAGCCCAGGACACGCGCGTTGTTTGGTCCCGAAACAGTATCGGAAGACTAGGAGAAGAAGCCGGAAGATTACGGAAGACTACGGGAAGAAGCTTGAAGGATTTCGGAAGACTACGGGAAGAAGCCGGAAGACTACGGAAGACTACGGAAGACTACGGAAGACTACGGAAGATTACGGGAAGAAGCCGGAAGACTACGGAAGACTACTGGAAGAAGCCGAAAGATTACGGAAGATTACGGGAAGAAGCCGGAAGACTACGGAAGACTACTGGAAGAAGCCGAAAGATTACGGAAGATTACTGGAAGAAGCCGGAAGACTACGGAAGACTACGGGAAGAAGCCGAAAGATTACGGAAGATTACTGGAAGAAGCCGGAAGACTACGGAAGACTACGGGAAGAAGCCGGAACACTACGGAAGACTACGACTGAACACTACGGAAGGGGGGGGGGAGGTGGGGGAAGGGGGGGGGGGAGGGGGGAAACCAAAATTCCAGAAATTCAGAAATCCAGAGATCCAGAAATCCAGAGATCCAGAAATCCAGAAATCCAGAAATCCAGCCGACGTAGAAACCAGCCCCAAGGGCCGCCCCAAGGGACATATAGGTTATACATATATATATATACATAATCATATTCACATTAAACTTATAGAAAGCATATCAACAAAAGCAACACAGAACACACCGCCCCCATGCCGAAAGCATGGTCCATTCTGGACCAGGCATGGGGTAGGCGGATTTCCCCTTAAAGCATCACCCCCACCAAGACATAGTCACCTTTCATGGGCCAAACAGGTGATGCTTAAAACCGCCAAAAAGGGACCTGTAGGTTTCGAGCTCGCATGGACAAAGGACATGACACGGGAGGAAGTGATGCGAGCCACTCGATCTGTGGCACTTGTCCACCTGGCATTTTGTTCCCCCCAGCCCGGAAGTCGGCTCCTTCGGGTGAAAACAGCTTTCAGGGAGGGTGGTTCCAGGGGCATCCGAGCTGATGCCCCCCCCCCCCCCGAAGGGTAGTGAATAATATAGGCCCCCCCCCCAACAAAGCAGGAGGGGTTCAATGGGGGAAAATCTACCCCCATTTCTTTTTCCCACTGGTGTCTTCGAGTTGGGACCCCAAAATGAAGGAGTCCCTTTGGTTCCCTGGAACATAAGCGCAGAAAGGATGCCCTCATGAATATGCGAATGATAAGGAGCAAGGGGTGGCTTGCTTTCAGGGAGCATAGGGGCGGGGCTGTTTAAAGTACCGGGCATATTGGCTGGGTCACCCAGCAGTGCCCTTCTCTCCCCTTTCTTGGGCGAAAATTCCCCTACTGAAATAGACTACGGCAAAAAGTTGGTACCCTTATTCTAACCTCTCCACTGGAGGACCTGCTGAAAGCGTTCTTGGCTGAGCCTTGGGCCAGCCGTTTCCGTGGGCCTGAGGCAACGAGCTGGGGCGCCGTGACTACGTGACCGGTGAGATGTGGAAGAGCCGCTTGGAGCGGTTGGGTCGGCATCCCGCCGTGTTTGCTCTGGTTCATTTTGCTTGGATGTTAGGACTTCAGCTTTTGGCCAACTAATGGGTTTTCCATTAAACCACCAAAAGTTAAACTTTTAGCAGGGAGCAGAAAGCAGGCAGCTATTGCCCACAGAAGTGCTGACCATGGCGTTGGGGTTTCCCAAATCAACCTTCACAAAAGGTCGCTCTGAGCATCTTCAAGAGCAAACCGGGATGTCTGCTTAAAGGGGCTGATTGGGCAGGGAAGTGGTTGGTAGCTGAACGGGAATTTGCAACCATGGCTTCTGTGAGTTATAGCAACTGGTGTACCGAATCTTTTTTGCGTCGACTTTCAAGTGGGTGAACCTTTTCCATGCGCTTCGCCCATCACTTTACAAGAGCGTTGCCCACCGCATCCAACCCTCCCCGTTTCCTCAACCCGACAAAACTGGGATCCGGCCGAAACGAGGGGTTGGATCATGGCTGGCCCTTGAGGTGAGTTTGGTTAGAACTAGATGGGTTCCACTGGTTTAGATTGGTTTGATGCCCCATTTCGCAGGACCATCTGGGTGTGGCAAGAAAAATTAGACCACTAGGAATTGGACCGCAGGTTGAATCGTCCATGTTTCCATGTACCAGGGCAACCCATTTTTTGGGGGTTACCTTTTTTGGACCCACAGCCATCTGTTTTTCCAAGAGTCGTCAGCTATGGGTTGGATCCTGAGGCAAACCGCCCTTCCGACTCTGCCTCAACAAGGCCGCGTCCGAGGAGATCATTTGGCACTGCCGCTGGGGCATCGAAGGGATTTAATCTGGGTATGGGTCAAACCAGGGGACCACAGGTTACATCGTCCATGTTTCCACTTACTAGGGTTCCATTTGTGGTACCTATTTTTGACCCACAGCCATTTGGAGCCGCATGTGGCTCTAAAATCGGGGTCCAAACTGGTACCCTGGTAATAGAACAATTCAACCAAAGGCCTGAAGTATCGCGCCAGTCTTGGGTGTGCTTTTTGGGGCGACAGGAATTCTTGGGCAGGTTTGAAGGGGCACCAAAGGCGAAATGCACCCAAAATGGCCCTCTCCCCCCTTTTCCCCCGGCCCCGGCCCGCCGATTTTGACACACCTAGTTGGGGACGCTCGAAATTGTCTAACACAAAGATTGTGGGTCACAACCACTCAATTTTGTCCCGAAAGGGTACTGCCCCAAGGCTGGTTTGATAACGTGAGGCCACCCAAACTAGGTCCCCAGTAGTGCCCTTCTCTCCCCTTTTTTGTAGGAGGGTTCCCCTACTAAAATAGACTACAGAAAAAAAGGGCACCCTTATTCTAACCTCTCTACTGGAGGACCCAGTAAAGCAAGGGAAGCGGAAATGCATGATGTTCAGGGCTCCCAATGTTTTCACACGCGCCCGGTGGGTGCAGTAGGGGTTCCTCATGTTGACGGATCTGTTTTGACACGTACGGTTCATTCCATAGTTTTGTCACGTGAACCACTCACGTCATAGGGCTCACCCAAGGGGCTCTCATTCTTTTTTGTTTTTGTTTTTTAAGCCCATCACTTGTTTTTGGACCTTCATCATAGTCCCATCCGTGGTTTTAGCACCTTTGGCCGCTGGCAGGAACAAACCAGCTTCTGGGCTCGCAAGGAAGCCAGCAATTTCGGGAAGTGGATCGATCCCGTTCCCTTGTTCTCGTGAATACGGAACCCTAAGTCTCGTTTGATGATTTTTTCCTCGAGGCAAAAGGGCTGGGATTGCCCAACAAGATGCATAATGAATCGGGAAGGTTCCCTAAGTCTCGCTGAGGATTTTCCTAAAAGTTTGGTTCCCTTCCTCAACTCGCTGGTGACCCAGAGTTTCCCTAGGAAACCAACTCGGGGATGGTTTAAGCCGGGGTCATTCCATCCAACTCATTCCCTGCCGTGGCCAAACATAGAAGGATTCCGCCTGGTTTAGATGGGCTTTATGCCCAAATTTGCTAGGGAAACCCATCTATTTTTCCAAAAGGACCTCACCCCAAATGGTGGTTTATGTGGGGAATAGCCCCCCAACCACCAAACATTTCAGGCTGGTGAAATCTTATACTTCACCCAGACCCATCTCTCCAGTGGGTCCCACCGAAGAAACCCTGGAATGAGGCGATTCCCCTGCAAATCCCAACAAACACGATGGTTTCCTGTGGTTTTCAAGTGGTGCGAACGGATGTCGTCCATCTCTCCATGTCCATCCCCGCGATTTCGAGGCAAGCACTACACCGGCCGCGGGGTGATGAAGTCCTACGCCAGCGGCGAGGACTTGGCGAAGGCGGGTGCAGCGAGTGGCGAGTTTTTTTTTTCTCTCCGAATAACCATAGAAACGTGTTTTTTTTTGTTTTGAATAGTAGTTTTCTTGTGTGTTCTTGTGTTTCTGCAGACTGGAGTTATTTTTTAGTTGTTTGAACGAAGTTGTTTGAGTAGTACATCGTTGCCTCAACGATAGATGGGCTACCGAAAGCATGGCATTGTGGGCTGTGAAAAGCAATACTTGTATTGTTTCTCAGCTGATAAACCTGACCTTCGATTCAGAGACCACTACGGCAAAATCGTGCTTGTTTGTAACCACTGGTTTTTGAGCTTCGACCGGAAAGGCCTTGAATCGGAGTCGCCGAGTGAGCTTCGGAGTCAGGACATGGGTGTGCCCTTGTCTGTGATCGAGCAGACCCACGAGGAGCACTATGCTGCGGCCAAGAAGACAGAGAAGGCGGGACGAGCGGAACGAGCGGATGCGCTTGTGAGATCCTACTGTGGATGGTTGCGAAATCCATTTCGCGCCACCTTTTTCAACCAGGGGCAACCATTGATGGTATTCCCAGGGGAATCGACTCATTCCATGGTTTCTGAACGGTGGCGCGAAATGGATTTCGTCCATCCACATGGTCAAGGGCCCCCCTTCCCGGGGGCCAACTTGTTGGGGCGAGGTGCGCAATAATCGTCTAGCTTTCATTGCGCTTGTGGGCACGTTCCACATACGGAACTTTGGGGGTTGCTGGCAGTTCCTCTTGTCCATGTTCCTTTTCTCCTTGACCCCAAGACCAGAGCGCCTAACCCGCCGACAGGACCCGGACGGCGGGTCTTGGCCCGCCTACCCCTCCGGCAAGTCTTGGGACGAGGCCAGCGGAAAGACCGGCAGCGGCAAGACCCGCGGCCAGGACTCAGGTGGATGTGGTGTTTTTTGGGGGACCCAAAGTCCAAATTGGTGCAACAGCTGGTTGTTTGGTTTTCCTTGAAGCCCATTCTCCAACCAAAAAGGGGCGCCGAGCCTTAACAAAAAGACACACACAGAGAGTCTCTGATTTGGCCCAAAAGGTGGGTACCCCGTGCTCTGCTGGTTTCTCTCTTTTTTTTTGAGGCTACCTGTTCACTTCTGTTTGAATTTGTTTAAGGGAAACCAAGAGGACAACTGCGCTTTTTGAGGTCCACTTATTTGGACACACACACACACACACACACATGTGCCCAAATTGGGGTCGCCTAAACTGGCTGGAATCCTTTTGGTGTCCCTTTCAACAGGGGGATATATTTTTTTTTTGAGATTTTGTGTTTTCATGCAGGTTCGATAGGTAGTCAGGAAACCAGATTCTGGGAGCAGGACTTATTTCAAGGCCCAGCCTTTCAAGGTCATTGTAAGTCACCTTGTTCATCAAGATGTCTGGGCGGCTCCCGAAAAAATCAAGCATCCTATTTGAAGATCAGGCTCAGGCGCCTGCCAGCAGGTGACCTTGTGACAGCCGATACCTGAGACCTCGTAGCACATAGCCATGGACTCCCGCAATCTCTGCAGCGACTTCATGGTGACTTGCCTTCACGACGGTGGGCATGCCAAGATCAACAGCCTGGACCTGCCCATCCGGAATCCCTCAAGGTGACTGCGTTGAGAGGTGGCAGAAGCGGCAGAACACGCTGACCATGTATCAGGCATTTCACGAGCAGAGGGCTCGTTCTAACTCGCAATGGCGAGAACGCAACAGGTACCCCGGTGCTCCTGGAGTCGTGCGGAGATACGATCCCCTTGCCAGGAGAAGTGATCCCAGTCCTACTCGGTCCGTTATGTCCGGCAAGGAGGGGCGTCCAAGATCATCGTCACCTGGTAGAGGGAGTCAGCGCGATAGGGCATCTCCTGGTAGAGTCAGCAAACGCCACCTCCAAAAACATCGCGGAGGCAGTCGCCGGCTGGACCCGCGCGCGACGACCGGGAAGCGCTAGCACGGTCGTGATTGCAAGTTCGAGCACGACAAGAGCCCGAGGAACACAGCGGCACCTTCAACCGCCCTTTGTCTGTCAATGACACTTGGCCGCAGCAGCTCTGTGGTGGAATTGCGAGGCGGCAGTAGCAAACAATCCACCGCTAGGTCTGTTTCTCCGTGCTGGGGATGGCATTGGCCGTATCGGGGTGCGTGAGTCCAGCTGAAGGACTTGTCCATGACAATTGCGTTGATGGCGTTCAACTGCTCTTCTCGTTGGTGCACCCGGCGTGCATCCAATCATACAGTACCCCAGACACATGGGCTTGTCCCTAACGGGCAAATTCCCAGCTTTTGGACCACAGCTACACGCTTGCAGGCCAACGCGCTTTCAAATGTCTGGTGGTGCTCTCAGTGGCAGAGGCGATCATTGGAAGAATTCCAGCGTCCGAGTCTCAATGAGGCCTTGCAAGAAGCAGTGACCTTTGGCGATCGAACGCTCCCCGAGTCGCCGCTTTGTCGCAGCCCCTTCGGTGGATGGAGGGGTGGACAATTGGACGCTCGCCATTTGGCTCACGCCACTTGTCGACGAATGCCCCAAAGATGGAGTTGGGAAGACGTTTTCAATTCGACATGAAAGTTTTGGACGTGAGTGATGAGCACGAAGATGATTCGCTGCCAATGAGCGCAACTACTGTACACTCACGGTTCACCGACGGTAGGCGAAGACACTGTGGTGGCCAACGTCTCCAAGTTAATTGACCAACACACGCAACGGATAGTGGCGTCCTCAAGAATCAAAGTCCCAAGAACGGCGCGCGAAAGCTCTTCTGAATGGGTTTCCATCTTGGTACGGGGTGAAAATCAAGTATGAACGGCTGATTCTCTCGGAGCCCAACAAGCTGAGGCAGCGCGAGATGCGGCGTATGGAGGGGGACGCCGCCATGAGAGCCTTCGCAAAGATCAAGCCTTGCAGGCAGCTGGTGCCAGCAGCTGCAGCTGAACTTGCAGCAGGGCATGAGCGCAACGAGTTCTGGGTTGCCGATAAGTGAGATGGACACTTCAAGACTAGACGATGAAAGGCTCATAGAAGGGACCACTCCTGGACAAAGGCTTGGACGCAGGCAGAGCTCACAGGCCTGTAAACAACTGAAGTGGACAAGGGCCAGCAGAAAGCCAACGTGGTGACCACGTGGTAGAGGATGGATGCTGATGACCCGCCACTTCGAGAAGAACACACAGCAGTGCGCGAGAAAGGAAGTCAGTAAGTCATACGTAGACCACCGTGATCACAGCACGAGTGCTCGTATCATTAATTCTGAAATTGTCTCTGCAGAGCTCAAGAGAGGCGCTGATCCATGTCATTGGGACAGCGCTCTCACGAAAGGAGAGAGTCTCAAAATGAACGCCTTGTTTTTAACATCGCCTTTTGGGCTCAATTGTTAAGGGTATCCGTTTGGCCGAAGGAACTATATCTAGGGAGCACCTTCTTGGGGTTAAAGAGGTTGTCTTTGAGGTTTTTTCTCATGGCAACATGACTTCTGTCGCTTAATGGGCCCAGTTTGTCCAGGGGTCCCCATACTTCCCTCGGAACGATCAACGAGATGCGGCTTCACGCCGTTTGGATATTCCCCGTTCAACGATGCAAGCGGATCCGAGCAGCCAGTGCGCCCCCGCAGCCGAAAACCCCAAATATTCCCAACAAAAAAAAAGGGGGAATTGACTTTGAGCAAACCCATTTTATTATTTTTTGCCCAGACACCTATGGGTTGCTTCCCTTTCTTCCGTGTCTGTTGATTGGAGGCCAACTCAGGACATCGAGTTCCAATCCTTTCTCCCCATGGAAATCCACTGGAACCCGGTCTGGGCAGATGGAAAACGACCGCTTTTCTTGGCGCCGAGGAAGTTTTACCACAACATCATCCCCGGCTCCGCAGTGAAGAGCGAGCCCTTCTATGCGGCTCGGCAGGAAGCGATCCAGAGATGGACCTGGACCTTCGCGGGACGGCGAGTTTTTTTGCCTTTAACACGCCCCGTTTGGGGGTTTGACCAAAGGATCTCTGCAACGGAAATTGGGGGACCTGGTGTGTCATTCGCCGGTTCAATCCGGATGGGTTCCAGTTCTCAGCCATGTGCTCTGTGAGGCATGGGCGTGAGCGCCAAACAAAACGTTTCAGGGCAACGCATCGTGTTTTTCTTTGAGGGTACCCCTTTTTGTGTGTTGCTCTAAAGGAAAAGACGCACCAAAAGGTAGATTCTCACGAATCGGATGCCGACCCAGGTGGGGGTACATGGCACAGTTCCATCATGGTGTCCACTCCTTGCTCCAGGTGCACGTGCGTTCTGGGAAAGCTGTAGCTTTTAGCTTGGTATCCCGCCAGACCAGGTTTGACTCAGGGTGGTTTTCCCTTGAACATCGACCAACACTTTCCAGCAGGAAACGAGCCTCAGGTGGCCATCATTACCCCGGTGATCCACTACTGCATGGGTGGCCTGCTCATCGACACGGACTCCGCCTGCGTCGGCCCCAACAACACGGCGATCCCGGGGCTCTACGCTGCGGGGGAGGCGGCGAGCCGGGGACCGATCATTTGCAGAGGAATCTTCTAGGGGTTGTTTTTCCATTATTTTCAACCATCGCTCTTTTCAAGAACCAGCTGTTTCCCCGCGGGTTCTGATGGTTTTCTGACAAGAAGGATCCCTGGAAAGAATTGGGAAGCTTTGGACGGTGCTCATTTGGGGCTCCATGTGACACTTGCAAGAGAATGCCCCTGCAATTCCGAACCAGGAAGCGTGTCGACTGAGCCCAAAGTTACCAATCGCAGCCACCAATCCCAACCACCAATCCCAACCTACTTTGGTTTCTTTGGTATTACAGAAGGTGAGCCGAAGACACAATTTCCCATCAAGCAGTTTGGGAATTTGGGGGGTGGGCGTTTGGAATCTGGACCGAGATAAAGCATTTGTTGTGGTAATCTTCATATTTTGTTTTTGGAAAGGGTTAGTTGTACAATTTTTGGAACGACACAACCCCTGGTCCACTTTTTTAGGGAAATCAAAGGGAGGCTGCTTAGACAAGAGGTTGCTCCCAGGCTCTTAATTTTGGGAGTTGCTGCCATCGACGCACTCCAAGCCTATTTTGCGGATTCGAACCCAACACGCTCATCCGATTGAGGGGTAATGTTGACCCCATATGTTTATTGATATGGGGGTATCCCTGGGTTTCGTGGGGAATCATCACTTTTGGCGGGGGGACATCCCCCTATTAATAAGCTGGGGTTGATTGTTATGGGGTCAACATGAGAAGGGCAAGGTGTCTTCGGGAGCCCTGGCCTTTTGTTTAGCCCCCCGCCTCTTCAGAGCCCCAAAATCCGAAGAGTCTTCCTTTCTGGTGGCCCCCCTCTGTGGGTTTCGTGTTACTTACTGCAGGGTAAGCGGTTTGTTCTTGTTTTGTACGGTTTTCTCTGAATTTCTGTAGTTCACCAGCGTGTATCCGTGTAATGCCCCTTATGATACCTTATGTGCGCTAATCCCTCAACTGACCTGTAAAAGGGATGCATGGTTGGGGAACTCTTTTTTCGGGAGCTTAAGCTTCCCCTTGACCTGCGTTTTGAAACACCAAAGAATCCAAGTCTTTTTTACCGGGATCTCACAAGAAGGATTCTTAGAGCCTTCTTAGACCAGGTTCTGAGAAGGGTTCGTAGAACCATTCTGGTGGGTAGGTGGGCACCAAGTACTCATGGCTGGTCTTTGCGTGCCCAAGTCACCCCTAAAAGCAGCTTTCAACTTGGCGTTTCCATTGCACCCACAAATCTTCCTGGGCGTTTGGGGGCTTGGAGTAACCCAGATGTACAAGGTTCTGTTAAATAGCACTCCAATCGAACATTGCTTGGCCAAGCAATGAACTGTTCCCATGTTCATCAACCCCTGTTTATAAATAGGGTCCCTACTTTTGGTCGGGCTTCATCAACTTGCACAAAATTCCCCCCCCCCCCCCGTTCACCCCTTTCACCCCTTTCACCCCTCCCTCCCCATGCCACCCCCCACCCCGGACCAGGTGGCCGGGGGGGTCCACGGGAACAACCGCCTGGGCGGCAACTCGCTGCTGGACTGCGTGGTCTTCGGCCGTGTGGCCGGCCAGGCGGCTGCCAAGCGACCGAGCCGAAAGCGAAGCGAGAGCCGAATGCGCGCGGGGAGGGGCCGGTGACCCGTTTTGGGTCGGTCGGGGCCGGTGGGGTTCCTAAGGTCTAATGTTAACCCCGGATTTAAGTAGAACCCCTGGTTGATTTTGATTGGGGGGTGTCCCCTTTTAGTGGGGATTCATCACTTTTGGGGGGACCACCCCCCCAATAATGGGACGGGTTTATTAATCCTGGGTCCACCACAATTACTTCGGAATCCGGCCATAGGTTTCTTTTTTGGTTGGGTTTGGTTGGACAGTTGGTGTCCTTTGTATGTGTCTTTGTATGTGTCCTTAGGGCGATTCCTGGTTTACCTTTTTCAATCATCTACCAGGGCCGTCTATTTACCTATGCAAACGGCGCCCGAAAGGGGGTGTGGTTTAAAGGGAGCAACAGGAACGCCGTACCAACTTTGAGGCTGCCTTGAGTACAAAGCCATCTCTCCACGTGGGTGGTACCCCTTTTTTGTTGGTGTTAAAGGGAATCCTTAATAGGAACACTGTTTTGCCTTGATTTTTTTTGGAGGGTCCAACCTTTAAACAAACGACGATTCGCCCATGTCTGGGTTTCGCTTAGGTACATGCTGGGCTCCGATGTGAAGAACGTTGATCTCAAGGACATCACCGGCGGCGGCCTCACAGGCAACGGACTACTTCCCCGCCGCGCGCTCGTTGGAAAGTGGGTATCGGAACGGTTCAGGCTGCGAGGATCGCAGGAATGGGTTGGGTTGTGACAAACCTGGCCGGAAGGCTGGGGTCCCCTTTTTTTGGGGGTCTTTGGGATCCAAGAAATGTGAGATTCTGCAACTGCCCCCTCCTTTTAAGGGAAGAAGTCGTCTTGAAGGCGGTGCTTCCCAGTGGCATCAAAAAAGTTGGCGATTCCGACACGGGGTCACGAAGGGGGGGTCTGGGTTGAAGGGGGCGGGCCATGAAGGTTGCATCTTGCAACCGGCCATGAAGGGTGGCTTGAGGGCGCGTTGCGTCTTGTTCACCAACATGAAGAATCCGATCATCTTTGCAACCACCTCGCAGAAGCTTCCATTTGGTAACGAATATGCTTTACGGTCCCCTGTTGGTTTTAAAGGGGATCTATCACGACTGGACATATTTTATTTTGCCAGGGGACCGAAACGCACATGGAAGGCCATGAAGGGTAGCTTGAGGGCGCGCTACAACGTCTTATGGTCGGACCATGAAGAATCCGACCATCTTTTGCAACCACCTTCCTAAACCCAAAAATCTTGTCAACTCCCACCATCTTTGCAACCACCAGCCAGAAGCCGAAACATCTTGCCAACTCCGACCATCTTTGCAACCACCAGATGCCAGAAGCCAAAAAAAAAAAAACGGAAGCCCGACCTGGGCTGAGCGGCCAGGCGCGGTGGAGAGCTCCAAGCTGGCGGGGGGCTCCTACGAGGAGACAGGTTTTGGTCGGGTTTTTCTGGACTCAAAGGAGAAACCATGGTTGTTGTTGGGAACATTTTTTTTAAATATTACATTTTTGATTTTTGTGGGGTTTAGTGGTTGAAATCCTCACTTAACTGCTAAACTTCTCAATTTTTGCTGCCCTTCCAGCGTCAACCATGAAACGGGGTTATCTACAGGATGAACAAATTGGGCAAGTTCAAGAAAAAAAGTCGCCAGCGAATTTGTTTGCCCGGGATCTTGTAAAGGTGGTTTTTGGATGTATCATTCGAGGAAACCCGAAGGTCCAAGGATTCGATTTTGGCACGCCTGCTTGGACCTCAGGGCTTCGGTTCCTTCGGTGTGAGCCCTTCGACTGGTTGCGTCCCAAGGGGGGTTTTCCTTCGGTGGCTTTGAAAGGGATGGCCCGGGCGTTCTATTTCCCTCGCCCGGAGCCGGGATGTGGACACCCCAGAGCAGCACGTCTTCCACCGAGGGCCGGCTCGGGGCATTGGGCCACGTGCGGTTTTGTTCTTCTTTTTTCATGGTGAGGGGCTACCAATGTTCTACGAGCGGGTCTTTGCATTTCTCTCTGGGATGGTTCGGGGGACATGAAGGGAGATCAAGTTGCCTTGCGGGTCTTGAGAAGAGACAAAATCAATGTCAGGGTGCAAGACTCTTTTAAGACAGAGACCAGCACACTCCTCGAAAGGCACGGGACCTGTGAGAAAAAAACACGGTGTTTACACCGCACGAAATCGGAACCTCTGTTCGGCTCCGTTCGTGCAACATGGGTTGAAAGCTCCTGGGCTCAAAGAAGCCTCGAGGCCCAAGATCCAGTGGAGGCCTGGGGGTTTCTTAGACACGGATTGACTAGAGGGATCCATCCGACCACGTTTTTCTTTTTTGTTTTGGGTGGTACAAACCAAAAGTCTCACCCCTTTTTGCCAGTGAAAAATATGCGAGTTTTCGTGTGGGTTTCTGAGCATGCGCAGGACAAGATGAACACCGCGGCGGCCGCCGGCGCCACATCCGCCGGCGGCGGAGGCGGTGGAGGAGGTGGCATCAGCCTAGCAGATGTGGCCAAGCACAATACCAAGAGCCGCTCGGCCCAAATCGTTGCCTTTTCTAGGTACCCCAGTAGTGCTCTTTTACATCCTTTTTTGGGGGAGGGTTCCCCCACTAAAATAGACTACAGAAAAAGGGTACCCTTATTCTAACCTCTCTACTGCAAAACCTAGTTTTGTTCCTGCCCAAATGGCCATGGGTCAATAACCTATGCCTCCATGTTGGGTCGGCGCACCCATGTACCACCATTTTTTTGATGTTCACCAGGTTTGCTGTTTTTGTTCCTGGCCTTAACTTCTTAACGCAACCTGTGGCCTCTTGGTTTTGGTGTGTACCCAATTTGACCTTCTGGCTTTTTGCTTTGGTGTTTTTATCCCTTTGTGAAGCGCTTGGCAATCTGTTCGATCTCTCTGATTGTTTGTTTTATCATCTCTTTGTATGGTTACTGTTGGGCCCACCTTCAGTTCCCCCGCTTTTGACGTTTTGCGATTTCCTTTTAGGCCTATCTTTTGTTTTGGCCCAATCCTGATTGGTGGCAAGGGACATCTTTTAGCTCGACTTTAAGCTCCCCTTTTGAGACCCTTTCGTCTTCCAAACAAATAGCTTGGTCGAACACGTCTTGGGTTTACCTTGCCGCCAAAGGGCCCATCTTGTTGACACGCCGCCAAAGGTTTGCCCTTTGGTCTTGAGCCGTTTGACCTCGCCATGGTTTTAATTGGACATCTCACAAGTTGATAAACATCAATGCCCACCCCAAATGACGTTCCGGTTAGTTTCACCCCACCCATGTTTAGCTGTCTCTTCTTCATGCCCCCTTTTAAAGGTGGCTTCCAAAGGGACAGCAGCAGGAAAACTGGAGCCACAAAAGACGAGGCGCCCCCATCTTTCTATTACCTGCCCCATTCTTTCCAGGGATCCTTCTTTCTAGAAAACCCCCGGAAACCCAGGGGAAACAGCCAGTTTTTGAAAAGAACAATGGTTGAAAAGAATGGAAAACAAATCAACCCCCCGAATTGTTTAACCTACTTAGGTTACTGTAGGGTAACTGGGGTTGGTTCCCATACCATTTTTTGGAACCTACGAAGTTTGTTTTTGGAATCCACCGTTCGAATTTCCGTCAGCAGTCGCGTGTCGCCGCTTGAGGCGACTGCTGGGTGGTGGTTTCTGGCCAGGTGCCCTCGGCGAAACCACTTTGGGTGGGGGAGGGGGGGGGGGGGGGCCCTGGATTCCGCGAATTCACCAAAGGGACCCAAAGGTAGGGTCTCCCATTTCCTGGATGCTTCCAAACACGAGCTTCATTCTTTTTATGTAGGGTGGGGGGAGGGGGGAGGCGCTGCTTTCTGGGATACAAGGTGGATCCCCTCAATATTTGCTGCGACAAAGCAATCATGGAGATGGCAGCCCCACTTCCATCCAACGGACACCAAACAGAACACCATGTGTTTTTGGTTGGCTTCAGACGGAAACCAGAAAACCCCACCCCACCCACCCACCCCACCCCAACCCCACCCCCACCGAATTGCGACACTCATGTTCCAATCTCTCCCGGCCACTGGTGGCACTCAGGTGTTGGACGTGACCAGCTTCCTGGGCGGCCCAGACTGGAGTGGCAGCTTTTTTTTTCCCCGCGGTTTCGGTTTTGTCTCTAAATGGGGGCCCCCTAAAATGAGTGGTTCACTGTTTTCAAGCCCTTTCAACCAACCTGGAAGAAGGGTACCCAAAAAACAAGAAAGGACCCACCCAAATGCCCCCCAATTCAGAAGTTTCGCCTTGGCTTTTGAGCAGTTTTCGGTTGCGCTGTTTGAAGGGCTCCGAGCAGCCTTCGCCAAGTGGCCGAAGCTTCGGCCCCCCCACTTTCATGGGACGTGGGGTACGATTTGGATTTTGATGGCGAAAGTCAAAGGCCATGCGGATATCCCCACGAGTTAGCCAATCCTGAGGCCTGAAGGAGAACTGAATTCGCCGTCGCCTTGGGCGAAGGCGAATTCAGGGGCGATGCGGCGATGCGGTTCACGGGGTCATTTCTTCGCCTTTTTCCAGGTCTCGGAAAAGCAGAAGCCCTTTGTTTACATGCCCTCGAAGCCATGGAACACAACAAACGAAAGCCACCGCGCCGACACTTGGACCTCTGAACCCTCCAGCTGGGCCAAGGGGTATCAACCACTTGGCACATGGGGAACCGCTTTAGTAGTCACACTGTGAACATCTCCAGACCCCTGGCTTGCAGAAATTCGCTCAAGCATGGCCATGGGTCAGACTCCAAATCGTAGCCCCAGTTTTCACATCCCAATCCAAGCACTAAAATAGGATGCCTAAAATGGGTGGTGAATTCACCTACCAACCAAAATGGTATCCCATTGGTTTTGACTCACGGCCACATCGAGGTGATCACCCGGGGGGCGAGTTGGCCATTCTGACCTTCGCCGGGAAGGATGCCACGGAGGAGTTCAACATGATCCACCCCCCGGATGTGTCGCTCGCTGAAAGCGGCGTTGGTTTCTCGAGAGATGGGCCTGGGTCAGAACCTCCTCCATTTTGCATGGCGGAACACCCATGGACCACCTATTTTTGATGTTCACCAGGGGTACAGGGTTTTGACCCACAGCCATATGCTCGCCGTCCTTGTTGGGTTTCTCGTTTTGTGTTTTTTTCGTTTCCCGTTTTTTTCTTTTTCTTTTTTCGCCGTCCTTGTGGTTTCCCTGGTGTCCCACTTGGGATTGCGCATTAGGGACCCCTTCGGTTTCAACCTAACCAGGCAAAAAAAAAGGACCCCGGAGTCCGAAGTGGGCCCATGTTCGATCAACCCAGACGAATGGTTTGTTTTTGGGTTGTTTCTGTTGTGTTTTGTGGTTTTATGCATATCTTTGTTTGCTGCTGATGCAGCAATGGGGTCGACAGGCCCAAGTGGTCGGAGCAGCTTTCGTGGAGGGTCCATCAGGAGGGTTCTCCTAGGCCAGTTAGGGATGCCGCCTTTTTTCCCCCAAGGCGTCTGGGCGCCTTGTGGTGTTTTATGTCTTGCCTTTTTGTCTCTTTGGCATTTTCCTTTCTTTGTTTTTAGGGTTGCTCTTTCCGCGAAGGCAGAGTACCATCCGATCCCAACGCTCGTTCCGAACGTTGGGGCGTTGTTTTTTGTTTAGGCGCCGTCACCTTTTCGGGAAGCGAGCTCACCCAGGAAGGTTTGGACAGTTTTCGCAGTTGCTTGCTCCATGGAGTCCCAAAGCCTTTGTCCCAAAAGCGGTTTCCTTTCGGCTTCCCTCCATCCAAAAGGCTGCCTTCCAACAAGACCACCTCTGTCCCCTCTCAGGATCGGCAAGTATGCGCCTGACTCTGTGATTGGCACAATTGGTGGCGGTGGTGGCGGCGGCGCTGTTGCAGGCGGCGGCGGTGGCGGTGGCGGTGGTGGTGGCATCACCCTGGAGGAGGTGTCTAAGCACAACAGCAAGAGCCACTCGGTGCAGGGCGCCTTCACTTGGCGGTCCGTGGTCTTGGACTGTGAGATCAGGGTTTAGAGGGGTTTGTGAACTGCACTGAGAAAATATCATGTAGCCCACGTCGAAAGACACCTCTTCGCCATTTGAAGCATCACCTTTCCAGCATACCAAAAGAACACCATTGTCCAGGTTCAAGCGCGGTCGGTCCAAATCCTAGACTTTTGGGTGTTCCCTTTGTCCAACCTCAGAAGGCCTCAGAAGGCTGGGTTCGCCTCCTCCTTTTCCATCTGTTTTGCCAAAAAAGCATGCAGGAAATGCTGTGGACAAACATTTGCACCGGTTGGGATGGACGAAACCTTATGAACACTGGGATAATGAGATACTTGGGGCGTCCTGTTTGGGCTTACTTTAAGGAGCAACATGCCCATTGAAGACATAAGCCAACATGATACCCACCATTTTGCCCGTAAAGCCACCCGGAAAGGGTACCGAGCCTCGAACAATGACACGCCTGAGGGTTTCTCAAACAAACGATTTCACTGTTTCAAAGGCAAAGCCGAAAGGAAATCAACAATCTTTACTTTAAGGGTCACCTATGTTGAGAACCACACAAAATGGGACCCCCCCCCCCCCAACAAAAACATGACGGTTTCCCTATCCCCAACAGCCCCGGAACTCCCACCCAGAGCCTATCTGGGCCCCATAGCTTTCAGCTGTTGGGGAGAAACAGCGACATTCAAGGGTTTGGTCACGGGAACATCCACTGGAACTGGCCCCAAAGCACCTTAACTAAGCTGTTTTCCTGTAGATTTTCCTGTAACCTAACCCTTTGACATGGCCATGGTTAACAATCTCGTACCCCCAGTGAACATCCCAATCCAACCACTAAAATAGGAAGCCTAAGATGGGTGGTGAATTCACCGGTTTTGACTACCACAGCCACATGTGCCCTAGGCAATTTGTTTGTTTTGGTGATGGTCATGCTCCTCTTCTAGGTCCTCCAGATTTGAGAGAATGATATAAGACTAGTCCTCTATTAGAAACCACCATGCCACATCAATCCTCTTTGAGAGAATGAGAATGATATAAGAATGGATTAATGAGAGCAATACTGTGGATGGACAAAATCCTGCACTACTTTGAACCATGGGAACCAATTTGTTTGTTGGTATTTGCAGAAGAATCGAATCATTCCAGAGAATCTTAGGTGGTGCGAAATGGATTTCGCAACCATCCACAGTAGGTTAGAATAGAATTAGAATAGTCCTCTAGAAGTTGGTGCGCCAATGGTACCACATCCCCCGCTTCCAGCTCGCCGAGGTGACTGCTGGGTGGTGGTGGACGGCCAGGTCCTCGATGTCACCAGCTTCCTATCGGAGCATCCAGGCGCCGACTCACCGACGGTTGGTTTCTTCTTCATGTTTGTTCTTCTTCTTCTTCTTTTTCTCAGATTTTTTTGCTTCATATTTTCTTCTTCAGAGTGTGTTCTTCATATTTTTTGCATGAGTTTTTGGATATGTTTCTGGGTGGGTGTTTTCGGCCTGGGCGAGGGGGGGTTTGGGCGGGGGGAGAGTTGTTTGGGTGTTTTATGTGTCGTATTTTCTGGGTTCTCTTTTCCGGGGGTGGATCGAGTCGGCCCCACTTTTGCGGCACACACTCCATGAAAGTACAAAGCAATCAGGGGTTGATTCCCCATTCTTTTCAACCATCGTTCTTTTCAAAAACCGGCTGTTTCCTCGGGTTTTTGAAGAATCCCTGGAAAGAATGAGGAAGGTACCCCTAGAAGCAAGGGTTCCTAGGGACAGTCAAAGCCAGAAACCCACTCCACATGTAATTCCCGTTGAGGCCTTTCCAGCTCGCAGCGCAGAGGTTCAGTTCACCTCTGTTGCCACAGCTAGATGGCATTCCAACTCATTTGGCTGAGGGTCGCCGAAAGGCTTGTCATCCGGAACTCGTATTTCATTTGCTTTCCCGGTGTACAGGGTCATGACTCGTCAAACGAGTAGTTCGTGTATGGTTCTTTTGTGTCCATTTGTCTCTCAGAAGGTGTTGTTTTCCTTTCTTTTGTTGGTTTTATCTTTTGGGAAAAAGCACTGCTGTTGATTTTAAAGGGAATCCATCACTACCAGTTTTTCAGGAAAGCGTATTCGCGAATGGATGTGGAGGGAGGGGGCTACAGTTCAATTACAGAAGCCCAGAGACGTTTTTTCAACGGGGTTTTTCGGGTATGTGTCAAAAAGCCGGCGACCGGCGACCCCCTCCATGTTTTAGTCTTCGTTCTTGCCCCTTTTAAGGAACCCCCCTTTGGGCGCCATTTCCGCAAGAAAAAAACAAACCCAACTTGGTGGTTGATAATTTTTGCGTTGCCCCAAAAGAAGAAACCCCCCTTAAGAAAAAGCACAGAGCGAGGAGCCGCCAAAAGCACGCCGCAAGAAGCCCCCATGGTTGTTGTTGGGCAACATGTTTTACATTTTTGCTTATTGTGGGATTTAGTGCTTGAAATCCAAATCCACTTCACAGAGTTTTTTGCTCCCCTTCCAACGTCAACAAAGCCCAACATGTGACCCCAAAATGTGTCGCCAGGCGGCGAGCTGGCCATCCTCACCTTTGCCGGCAAGGACGCCACTGAGGAGCTCCTGAGCTCGGAACGCGGGACTTACTCTGGTTAATTTTGCCAAGGGATGTTAGGACTTTAACTTTTTGCCAACTAATGAAACGGTTTGCCGTATTAAACCACTAAAAGTTATTCACTTTTAGCAAGGGAGCAGAAAGCAACCGAGCTTAGCGGTTACTTTGCAGCCTGGAATCCGAAAAGAAAAAAACTAAAAATACCCTAACTGAAGAAGGTTGCAAAATAGAACCGTGTCCCCCGAAAATTTTCCCCATGTGGTCGTGGTTGTCAAAGCCGTTTTGGTCTATCCCATTTTGGTTGAGAGGTGAAGTCACCACCCATTTTAGAACCTATTTTGGTGGTTGGATTGGGAGGTTCACTGGGGGTATAGGATTTTGACCCATGGCCATGTGGGTGTGTCTCAAACTTAGGGGTTTGCCCATACTGCGGAGGGTTGCAAAATTGCTCGAAACCGCACCACGAAATGAAACCATGGTTGAAACCGTAAGGTTTGTTGGTAATTACAAGGGGATCGAATTATTTCAAGGTTCCTTAGGTGGTGCAGGATTTCGTCCATCCATATGGCAATGATTTTCTATCAGGGACCCTTTGGGGGACATCGCCAGTCACTTTTTAGGTGGTTCGAACCACCAATAAAATTCAGAGCCTTCTGGGTCCACCTTAAAGTTAGGGGCAGCCCAAGAACGGGCCAGTGTCCAAAGTTTGTTTCGCTTAGCTACTCCAAAGGGTTTCGAGTTACCAAGAATGTGGCCAGGTTCCAGCAAAGACGACCCGAGCGGCCATCCGAAACAAGATATGTGTGTGCGCTTTTTTGAGGGAACCATTGGTTCGAGCGAAAACGGCAAGCCCGCCTTTTTTTTGGGTCCCCGTATCTTGAGGCGTCGCAACATCTTTGGCTTGATCTTTGGCTTGACCTTTCATTTTTTCTCTATGTCCTTGGGTCAGTTCGCTGGAAAGTGACGGGGCTGTCGCTTTTTGTCCCTTTTTGGGATAAACCCAAAATGCAGCCGCTTCAGTTTGGTTCGAACATTTGAGCCCTCTTGTTTTTTTTTCAGTTTGACCATCGAAAGTCGGAGTTTGGGGATTTGTTGAAATCGCCAAAGGTGTGGGGGCGTGGGCCTCTGTATGGCCCAATCCCTGGCCAATGCAGGGTTCACAACTTGTTCATTGCGGATGCCTTGATTTTGTCTTCCCTGCCAGTGATTTTCTAGGCTTCAAACAAGTTCCGAAAGGTCTACAAGAGCCCTTCAGGAAAAGATATGGTATTGTATATTTCCTGGGTTTCCCAGGGATGCCATGCTTATTGAATCAAGCCACACGGCTAGAAGATTGGTGCTGGCAGGCTTTTTTAACAGCGAAGCCCATCTCAGTTCCGGAGTTCCTGGACATTCGTCACTTGGGTTTGGCCCACGTGGTAAACGACAAGTTTAGATTTCCATTTGGCCAATCCACAGTGAGCCATCTAAGAAAAGGCGGCAGTTGGGCCGTTCCAGGGCCCAACTTTCGACGTTTCCCATGGAAGGTCAACAAGGAAGCCATCAGCGATGGGGCTGCCTTGTTTTAGAACTCGGACACAGAAATGGGTGTGGCTCAAAATTCAGCAGGAGGGGTTACGCAGGTTTTGGTCCATGTTTCCACTTACCAGGGTTCCATTTTGGTACCGGTTTCTTGAGCCACAGCCAAATGGCCTCAGCTTCTTTTGTGGGGTGTCCGTTCTTTTGGGTTAAAAGCAAGGGTCTCGAGCCTCAAAAAAAGGATCAACCGTTCTCATCGTGCACTTCCTGTGCCATGGCACTTGGTTTGGGGGTCACTGGAAATAGAGCTGCCAGGTCCCCTCCCAGTTATGTTTCTAGGGGTTGATTCCCCATTCTTGTCAGCCATCGTTCTTTTGGAAGAAGGGCATCTCTTTTTAGGCCTATTTTCCGATGATTTCTAGTCATTGTCACAGTCAGAGACTCTTGGGGTTGTTTGACTTATCTGCCACGCCACGGGTGACTTTGAACGTGGTAAAGCACTGGAGGCCTGAGGTGTTCGAGGGAAATATCTCTTGGGCCTGGCTGTGTGCGAAATACCCGATATTTTTGTTAAATTCAGCCAAGGGGAAGCCAACAAGGGATTGGTCATCGTTTCTTTTTTCAGATTCAGATTCCTTGTAACACTTCCCCATAAGGTCTACCACTTGATACCACTTGAACATGGTCAAATGGGGCCAAGGACTTGGCCTAAGATCACCGATTTTCCCAAAGAGAAACCAAAAGCGTATGGGTAAAGGGCTTCGTAAGCATGGCAAAATCTGTCTGACGGCTCACAAAAAAGATCCCTCCGCCGGCCCAGGTTCAACATGATCCATCCGCCGGACGTCATCGGCAAGTACGCCCCCGACGCCGTCATCGGCAAGGTGGGCTCCGGGGCTCCGGCTCCGGCAGCTGCCAGTGCGGGCGGCGGCTTGGCGGCGCCGCTGCTGGAGAAGGGCGGGCACAAGGCTGGGGAATGAGCTTCCTTGGCGAGGTCCAGCGAGGTGCCAACTTTTACCGTAACTTTTTGGGGGGAGGGTTCCCCTATGGACTACAGAAAAAAGTGGGTACCAACTTATTCTCACCTCTCAAATCTGGAGGACCTAGTTGGTTTGGAGAATTTGGTGGTTTTGTAGGTTGGGGGTTGCCCCTTTACCAAATCCCGAACAAGCCACAGGGTTGCCCGAGGGAAGGTATCCGAGACCTCCGGCGGGTTGGTTCCTGACTTGGTTTTCGTTTCTCTCTGGGTTGCGAGCCGAGTTTTGTCTCCTTCTTTCTAAAAAATATATATTCTTTCTTTTTCAGTTTGGGGGGGGGTTCCTGAACAACTCTTGCGACCAACAAAGAGTGCCGATGTTTTCTTTCCCATGGAGGTGTACTGGCAGTCTGGGAATAGTTCCGGGCCACATGTCCCAGCGTATTTTTTCCCTTGAACTCCTATCTCGTGAAAAAATGGTTTTGGTATCACAACTCTGGCGTCTTGAAAATAGGATTTGGGCCCCCAACATGGCTGGTTGTGTCTAATAGGATTTGGACCCCCCATCATGACTGGCTTCCTTCTGTTGCCAAGCTCAAGTGGGGCCCTCAAAGAACCACATCATCAACCTCTTAGTGTTGAGTGTTGACCCCAGAGAAGAATTCACGCTTTTGTGGGGCCCGACCTTCCTGCATCTATGTCTTCCTCCCAGTTCAACCGTGGGCTTAAGTGGGCTCAACCCATTCGGGTCACTGGGCAACAACCAGTCGGGCTTCAACCACAACTGCCAGGGCTTCCAAACCATTCCCCTTCTTATTTTTTCAGCAACTTTTGAGTAGGCGACCCCTGACTCAGCATCCACGCCGTTGGGCAAAATGGGAAGCCCATCGATGGGCCGCCGTGCAGCACGACCGGAAAGGCGAAGGACTGGTCGCGCGCGGAGAAGAACCGGGAGCTGCGCATGAAGGGCGAGGGCGCCTCCAAGGGAATCGGAGATCGGGAAAAAGCCGGAAAAAAGCCACGGGGGGAGGCGTAGTGTTTCTGTTTTGCAAGCCGAAAACCAAGGGGAAAGCAATATTGAATTGGCTTAAAAAGGGTGGTTGTGTCTTTCTTTCGGGGCCCCCTCCGCCCAAAGTAAATTCAATGAATAAATAGGAAGGATTTCGGTGTTCCTTTCGTTTCGTCTTGAAACCAACCAAAAGGGGGCACCCTCAAAAAGAGACACACCCGAAAGACAGTCGAAAAGAATTGGCTATCAATCCCAGGGTCGCCGAACCGTTCCCAGAAGATGGTCAAGACCCCTTGGAACACAGTCAACGGCTTCCTTAACGGTAAACGTTTTGGCAGGACCCAAGGGGAAAGCGCGGGGATCAAACTTTCATTTGCTCTCAGGGACGAAAGAGGTATGCACAACAAGCGCCCTTTCAGCGCTTATTGTGGGCAGCTCCACAACCACCACGGAGTCCAAGCTCGGCAATGGAACCAACCACCTCGGAGAAACCGACCGCGCAGGTGAAAACAAGCCTATAGGTAAGCCACCTTGCTCACCGGTGAGGTTAAACAAGTCTCCAGGTGTCGCAGCCCAGATTGTTTGAACATATCGTGAGGCACACCCCCCTGCACAAAGGGAAGTAATCCCCCGGTGAATGGAAACGAAGGACACCCTTTACCATGGTTGTTGTTGGGAAGCATTCTACATTTTTGCTTATTGTGGTTTAGTGGGAAATTCTCACAGTTTAAATTTTGGCTCCCCTTCCAATGTCAACCGAGTTACCAAGGTTCCACCACAAAGGGAGTTTGATCATCTTTGTCCCAGCTGTCCATGGGCCGCAGTAAAAAAAGAACGCCTGGTTTGGTTGGGCGGGGCGGGGAGGTTGTTTGGGGGTGGTTCATTCAGCATTGTTACATTCTTTGGGGCAGCCGGGGGAGGGAAGAGATGCGGCCAGTGTGACCCAATCGCCCTGAGCTTTCGGAAACAAAGGCACTTTCATTCAAATGTTAGGAGATCCGTTTGGGATCCACTTGGGTATGGATCCCGGCAAGCATCACCGGGGCGTCAGATTCGGCTTCCTTGGTTTCCCTCCAGACCGCGGCTTTGACGAAAAGAGGGGAGCATCCACCATGGGGGTTACACGTTTTTATACAACCCTGCAAAAGACTGTCTGAAGTAGACACGGAGAGTTGGAGGAGTCCTTGATTCTGGGTTCTTCTCAGACACCAGGATTTGTTTGCCATTTGTGGCGGTCCATGAGGAACCACTTCGTCTGAGGCAGGATCTCCGGCTGGTTCGGCGCGCTCTTCTACATGGTCCTGGGCTTCATGAAAGAGAGCCAAGACTTGAAAGCCGATTTTTTTTTTGGTTCTTGTTTTTCTTTTTGGCAGCTCCAAAAGGGTTTCTGTCGCCATCCTGCTTGAGCTTCCTGGTGTCACGAAAGGGTAAATATCGGTGGCTCCCTGGTGCGCTCCTTAGCCTTATGCCCAACCTTAATAGCAAAATGACTGATTCCCCTAACAACAACTTGACGACTTTTTGCGGGTCAATGATCACTTGCTACCATGCAGGCCGAAGACTTCGACCAAGGCGATCGCTGTAAAAAAAAGAAAGAAAAGAAGCTCACTGATGGGGCGTAAGATGAGCTTAGCCATGATGAAGATACCTTACCTTCCTCGCGCGGATTTCTTATGGGCGGGTTGTGAAAGAAAGGCGCACATCCTTCTTTCGCGTTTGTGAATCACAACGGGCGCCAAATTTGAGTATGTGGCAAAATAGGGGGGGCTTTCCATGTGGCGGTTTCCCTCTACAGCAAATCTAAGAAGGGTGCCCTCACAAAGCACAGATTTCAAAAAATGCCCCATGGGAAAACCATTTTGGGGTCCCCCGCCCTTTTTTGACACAATCCCATAGGTCTGTTGGCTTAAGGATCCTCTTCACCATCGTCCCCCAGAAGAACGTCACCTTCAACGGCGACCGCGTGGGCCTGACGCGCTCCGCGATGTTCCTGCTTCTTGGCTTCCCAGCGAGCCTCACAATCCCCGGCACAATTCCCGGTAGATGTGTGTAAAGTAACCAAAAGGGACTTGTGCCAAGTTTCGCCCTGTATATAGGCTTTTTTTGTTTGAGATGTTCGAGGGTTTATGACATATGGCTCACAAGTGGTCGGCGCCAGCTAATTGATTGTCCACCAAATTAAGATTCACACCCATATCCCACGAAGATCACTAGCTAGGTCCCCCGGTAGTGCCCTTTCTCACCCTTTTTTGGGGGAGGGTTCCCCTACTAGAATAGGCTACCGAAAAAGGTGGGTACCCTTATTCTAACCTGTCAAATTCTGGAGGACCTAGCTTATTAAAAACCATGCATATGTCCGGTCTTGGGCTCCTAGATGGATAAGCTGAGCGGGGTTTCTTGCGTGGTCACCGAAGGTTCGTCTTCATCATCATCCACGCGGTGGGGAACTTGCATGTCTTCTTGGGCCCCGACGACTTCAACGGCTACGGACGCTTGCCACTTTTTCTTGTTTTCTTTTCTATGGGGAACCCCCTGAAAAAGTGGTTGGTGGACACAACTTCCCACCTAAATGATGTCCACCAAAGGGCCCCTACTTAAAATTCATACCCAAATGGGGTTGGGTAAGGCTCGGCGATTTGGACGCTTGTTCCAACCACACAATTCAAAGACTGTGGACGAAACCCATTTCGCGCCAGCTAAGAAACCATGGTTGAAACCATTGTTGGTTGGTATTTCCAGGGGGATCAAATCATTCATTCACGGGTTTCTTTGGTGGTACAGAATTATTTTGTCCATCCACAGTATGGTTCAAACAACCTTTGTTTGGTTTCCCTAAAACAAGACCGTAAACAGGGTCCTGCCAATCTGCTGAAACACATGACTGGCACACAACAAAACAAAGACTCAGCAACAAAATGAAGGGACGGCACGTCGTGGCAGTGCCATTGACAAACCAGTCCAAGGAGAATAGCACAACATGTGCTTCACGCAACGCAAAAAACCCGGAGAACCTTTCTGGCAAGCTCACTTGGGCGCAAAACAAGCTTGCTATGAAGATCCTTTCCCTGGTTTGGGTGTGTCTTTTCGGGGACCCCAACAAATTTGTGTTTTTCCCTTTGTCTTTCCCTTGAAACCCTCAAAACACAAACCTGCCCTCAAACAAAAAGCGCCAGACCCATGTGCAGATCTTGTGAGGATACTTCTATGTGCGCCTCTATTGGACCGGCTTTGGTTTGCAGGCCAATATCGTGGAGGAGCCGTCCTACGGTCGGCTGGACAAGTGAGGTGCCAGAAATGGGGGGGACTATCCAAAATGCTGGTTGGGTGGCTGGCTGGCCGGCCGGCTGGCTGGCTTTGGCTGGCCGGGCGGCTGGCTGGTTGGTTGGCTGGCTGGCTGGTTGGTTTGTTGGTTGACTATTGGGTTGCTTTTCCTTTTGAATTCTAAACCAACCTCAAGCAGGGTACTGAGCCGCAAAAAACATGGAGCCTTGCTCCCCTGATGAACGGGAGAACTTAAAGAGGGGGTCCCAGCAAAGGAGATTCTGAACAGCAAAACGGTTTTGCGGGACCACCATTTTGATACACACGCTTGCAAGTGGCTGGTTCCACACCATTCAAACAAAACCACTAAAACATACAAACAGGCCGCTCAAGCCCCAACGTGGTGTGCCCTTTAGTCTCCCTTAGCAATCCAAACAGACCCTCCTTTTTTGTCAAAAAAGGACGCGCTCACAAAAACGCCACGGACATGTGTTTCAAAACCAAAATGTTTGGTTGCTTTTTGGTCCTTTGCACTCCCTTTTTTTAAGTTCCCCAAAAGTGTTGGAAAAGAACTCCCGCCGAATTCTGCCGAAAAAACTCAATTCCCCTATTGAAAGTTAGAAGATCAACATGGCGATTCTGCTCAAAAGGAGTCTGTGGTCAAAGGTTTCCCTTGATCCCAATGCCTGCCGGTCCCCAAGCCCTTAGGGTCTCCAATTCCCGGTTTCCTTTTGGATGTCTTAGTTTTGGGGTCCCTTCTTTGGTGGGGGGGGGGATCGCGTGTTTTTTTCCTTCCTAGGGCCGTTTTTTTTTTTTTTACTGGGGCTGGTCCCCTGGTTGGTTGGTGGTTTGACATCCCCTTTGCCATGATTTCGAGGGTGTCCCCTTGAAAGCCAGGACAGGTGCATTCCGTTGGTGTCCTTCAACAAGAAGTGTGAGGAACCTTTTTGGACACGCGTTTAATGCCATGAAGCGGGGTGTCCCATTAACCCAACAAAACACACCCAACAATAACACACCCCGCTGATGTTTTGTTTTCCTCGCTCCTGTGAGGAGTACATCTTGCTGGCGGCGCTGCTGCACGTCTTCGTGGCCCTGAAGCGAACTTGGGACATCTCCATCAACTACTCCGTGGCCTCGGGCAAGCTGAACTTGGCCTTCTCCGGAGCCACTGGCCAGCAGCCTTTCGGAGTTTGGAGCGGATCTTGGAGAAAATTTCCCCTAAGAGAGAAAGGGTTGCCTTTTCGGTGATACTTTCGGTGGCCTTCCGGCGTTTGCCAATGAATTGTTTGGTCACTTGAAAGAGAGTCCGTCGCTGGAGATGTTTCGCTGCTTTCCGGGAGACTTGGGCCAATGGGTGACAAGGGCTCGTTTTTGAGGGCTGGGATTTGCCCCGAAAAGCGTTGCCGTGCTTTTTCTGGGCCCAGAAAAGCGGTGGCGAGTTTGGCAGGGCCGGCCCAACTCAACCAATTGGGGCGTGTTTCAAAGTACTTCAAGACCGCTGTTATCCCACGAACTCTTTGACGCCAGCTGATAGCAACGACATTTGACAGTTATGTTATTAATATTTAATTAGACTTCTAGGGGTTGCAGCCTGCTTGAGTGGGTTGAAGAGGGTCTTTCTCAAAATCATGGAATCTGCTGGAGTGGGATGTGGTTTCCCTTGGTTTCACTTCCCATCCCAAAAGGTGAACGCTAAACCGCTCCCACGCTTTCCCAGGCTGGGTGCCAAGTAGCACAGAATGTTATTCCCAACCGCTGAAAGCTATGGGGTCTCTGTCCAAATAAGCTCTGGGGCGGTTTGGGGCATCTTGCAGGGAGGGTTCGGAGGGTTCCCTTTGGGCTCCTGGAAATTTCCCCTGGCCTTACTTTCTGGGTTCGGTGTGTCTCAGACCTCCTGAAATTGCGGGATTCTGGGAGCGCTCTTGGGGCATTTTGATTGACCCGACATGGCGGACTTGAGAATGAGCTCGGTGGGGATTCGTGGCCCGGAGATGCTTCCCTGTTGATTTCGACAGGCGATTCCTCCAAAGAACAAGACAAATGGACATGCCCCATTGGGGAAAGAATGCCTTGCTGGGTGCTAAATATGGAGTGTGGACAAAATTGGGGACAAGTAACATCCATGTTCTACGGGAAGGGTTCCTTAGGGTTTCTTACTCTATCCACAGGTCTTACCGCCTGACTCCGTCACGGCCATACCACAGAGTAAAACGCAAAGAAGGGGCAAGTAAGAGGTAAATGAAGGACTCACAGATCCGTGACATTTCTGCTTTGGGGCTTGATCTGGGTTTGGGGAAATCTTTGACTCTTGCAAGCGCGAATCCATGGACCAGCTCAGATTGCACCTCTCCGTTTTTTGTTTTTTTGGGTGTATTTTTCACCGCTGGGCTTAAGAGACATGGCCATGGCAAGCCCAAAGCTGAAGGGGTGCTTTCGGGGTGAAAGCAGACACCCTTCTCTTGACGGGAGCATGGGATGATGTTGTACTGATTGTTTTGGAATTTCCTCCAATGTTACCCACTGTGGGTAAGCAAGTGAATGGTTGACTTGGCTCAACCTCGACCATTCCCACTCCCACGTCACACCATTCCCAGCAACCCTGGCGCGATTGTGCCATGTACGTTCTTGTCATAGGTGTCCTTTTTGGTTGATTTGGTTGAAAAATAGAGGGCCCTAGTTTACCTGGTGGTTCACTCAACTACCAGGGCCATCTATTTTTCCAAAAGGACTCTTATGGTTCTTGTGGTATTTCGCTGGCTTTGCAAGAAAGGAAGAAACCCAAGCTACCTGGAGCCGCGACGACCCTGGGGTTATACACCCAAAATGGGACGATGCCATGAACCTCCTAGGTCCCCCAGTAGTGCCCTTTTACCCTTTTTGGGGGGAGGGCTCCCCTACTTACTAAAATAGACTACAGAAGAAAAAAAGACGGTACCCTTATTCTAACCTCTCAAATCTGGAGGACCTAGCCTTTCACCCTGCTTGTTTGTCTTGAGGTGACGCTTCTGACCTTCATGATGATCCACCTCTACCAGCTCCTTGGTCCGCAGGTTTCCTTTGGTTTCAATGTGTGGCTTGGGAACCAGAAGCGTTTAGCGCGTGAAGAATCCGACTTGCACGTATGGCTGTGGGTCAAAACCAATGGTACCATTTCGGGGTAGGTGCACCACTCATTTTAGTCGGTTTTAGTGGCCATATAGGTTCATCATCAGATAAAATTTGGTAGGAGTTCACATAAACAATTACCCTGGGTGGTTTAAAGGGAAACGGGAAAGGCCTATGTGTTTTTTGGGTTGGCGGGCCATAGCTCCGTCTCTCTCAATTCCGCGCAGACAAATCAAACTGCGGCCTTTTTGGATTGTGTTTTCGACCCCTCTGTTTGTACTCAAGAGAACCCAAACAGGAATCGTTTTGCCAATTGAGATGTCTGCTCCCTAAAAAACGACACCCCGATTTGGGGCACGTGTTTTTTTGAGGGTAGCCTTCTCACCTTGGTTCAAAAGGATCCCAAGAGGACACCGCCAAATTCTGGAGTCCCCCGATTTTGACACGCACCCATAAATGGGCCTGATTTCTTTGGTGGGTTAGGGTCCTCCAAATGCCCCCTTCTGTGAGGGTATTGGAATCGAGGCAACTTCTGAAAAGCTGGGGTGGTCCCTGGTAAATACTGTGGATGGTTGCGAAATCCATTTCACACCACCTAAGAAACCCTGGAATGATGATTCCCCTGTAAATACCAACAAACAATGGTGTACCATGGTTTCAAAGTGGTGCGGGATTTCGTCCATCCACAGTACCTTCGGTGGAGAGTTGGAGGATGGATCCGAGTCTTTCCTCCAGGCCCATGAATTTCATCACGCCACCTCAAGGGGACCTTCGAAACAACCCCACCGAAGCCTCCAGCATTTCCCGGACCACGAACAAAAACTTGAATTTGGTCTAAGAACTGTTATTTTGTTTTCCCCTGTTGGTTTTAAAGGGAATCTATCACTACTGGACATATTCTCTCATTTTTCCCAGGGGACGAAAAAGCAAACGGAGGAAAATCTCGGGCCAGGTTCCGCTTTGGCGACACGCACCCCTGGAAGCTCTGCCCTCCGCCGTATCTGCTGAACCTGAAGACGCTGCTGCAGCTGCGGCTGAACCTCTTCTGGGTGGACGACCCCGGGTGCCAGGCCTTTGGTGCATGTTGCAAAGGGATGTTAGGACTTTAACTTTTGCCAACTAATGAAACGGTTTTCCGTATTAAACCACTAAAAGTTATCAACTTTTAGCAGGGGAGCAGAAAGCAACCGAGAGGCCGTCTACGTGCGCGACATCTACCGCATGGAGTTCGAGGCGGGCTCAACTTTGGACGCAAAAACATCACCCGGAAGGAAAGCCCAAAAGGGACCAAAGAAGGGAGAGACGTGTCTTTTTTGTTTCTTTTGGTGTTTTTTTTTCCATGCAAAGCAAGGGTCCCCAACAGGTGTTCCAGTCGCTGGGCTGGGTGCTCTTCTACCTGGCGGCAGTCATCATCTTCAGCACTTGGGACACCCGAGAGAACTCTCAGGGAACGACACCCAAACGAAACAAAACATGGTTGTTGAACATGGTTGTTGAACATGGAGTTGACAAAGATGATGTTGAACATGGGTCTGTGTCAAAACACTTGGTTGTTGTTGGGAAACAGTTGTTTACATTTTTTCTTATTGTGGTGTAGGGGAATTTTTGCTCCCCTTCGAACGTCAAGCAAGAAAAGGCCGAGGTGTCCTTGCTCAGTTTGGTGCAAAATGGACATCTCGCCGAATTCAGTTTTCTCGATGCAATCATGTGCCAGTGCCATCTTTCTTTCTTTCTTTTTTTTTGGGGGGGGGGTTGTTCGCAGGTCTTCGGGGGCATTATGTGGAAACGGGCTTTGTCTGCACTTTTTTGGAACCACGATTGCAGTACCGCGCCTTTTGGGTCTCACGGACTTTTTGGCGACCAATGTTGGCCCTTTGGTAGCCTTTGATTGGGCCAACTGGAAGCACGCAAAGGTGCTGCCAGTTGTCACTTTATTAGGAAACCAGGAGCATCATGCAAAACTGTTAAACTTAAACATCTACCTGGTTACCTACTATAGTAACCGCAAGCACCGGGCAGCATTTGAACAACCTCCGTTTGGTCCTCTTGGGCCGAATTAGTGAGTGATGCCAACAAAAACTTAGAAGGGTCTAAATACAGGGGCCACAAGGCTGTCGTTCTTTTCCCCGTTGGATCCAACGCAAGTCGTGGCTTACCTTCAAAACCAAGCCAAGAAGGATCCCTCCCCCACCAAAAAAACAACTGAGCACAAATAATTAGAGGAAGAGCTGAAGCCGTTGCGCCAAGGCACGCACATGTGCCTGGGCTGGCAGAAGGTGGTGCCTGCACCGGCCTTGGAGATCCCGAAGAAGCACCAGAGTAGGGCCATCCACATGGGCTATGTCTTCACCATCTTCATCGCCCTGGCCCCTCGTCTCGCGGGGTTTTCCCCGCTGGGTTGAAGCGGTACTGAAGCTCCTGGCGAAAAGCGAAAAGGCCAATAGGTCCCCCAGCTAGGTGCCCTTTTTAACCCCTTTTTTGGTTGGGAGGGTTCCCCTATTTAAAATAGACCACAGAAAAAAATTCGGGTACCAACTTATTCTAACCTCTGGAAAGCTGGAGGACCTAGGCCATCGGTTTGTTGGCTTTTGGAGGGGTCGAAGGTACTGCCTGGCGAAAAGCCCGTCAGTGGGTTCCACTCTCATCCCTTGCCATGGTTCAACCACAAGTTGTGTGACCCCCAAAAGGGTTCCCATAGCGTATGGCAGCCGGGTTGCCGGTGGGTTCAACTTGATTACAGGCTAGTCAGGATGTGTGCCCTGCAACTGTCTGGGTGTAAGGGACGAGCAAGCGAGCAAGGGATGACCGTTGAACCTCTACATCGATCCCTGGCACTTGTTTTTCTTGGCTTTCTGAACTTTGCTTGCCCCAAACTGCTTCAAGCCAGACATCTTCTCCGCCGCTAGTTCTCTTGCATTGTTGGCTTGACGTATCTCTGTTTCTTGCTCCCACATGTTTGATAACCTCAAAAAGTTGTTGGACAAAGTCATCCCCGCTTCGCATGCGAGTGTCCCCACACACGGTTGTTGTTGGGACATGTTGGGACACATTTCACATTTTTGCTTATTGTGGTTTAGTGGTTGAAATCCAAATCCGCTCAACTGCTAAAATTATCAGATCTTGCTTCCCTTCCAACGTCAACGAAGTACACACATCGGGTTGTTTGGACCCCGGCTTTGAGGTCTACGCCAGCTTCCCGCTCTACGCCCACCTCTTCAGCATGTCCGGGGGTAGCCTGAGCCATGAGCCTGTGCAGCCGTGAGCGCGAGCGCTAGCTCGCGCCAGCTCGTGCCACCGGAGGGTTAAGTGATGATCCTCGGACGGTTTGTTTTTCGGCCGGCCACTTGGGTTTGTCCCAAATCCCGCAGGTTTTCCTGATGGGCCCCGCGTTTGGAATGAAAAGGGGAACCAAAGAAGCGCCGATGACGGGGTTCACATGAGACAACGCACTGAAGAGTGATTTGGCATATTTGGACAAAGAGCGAGCTCTGAGGAAGGTCAGCATTTGGTTTGAACAATTTGTGCGCAAGCCTGGCATTCGCCGCCATACCCTTCGGAGTTTTGACCAGGCTGCTGCCTTCATGTGATTTGGTCGCCCTTGGGGTAACAGGGGTTCCTAGTGTTTGATCTATGCACACAACTTAGCGCTTTGTTGATGCCTTGCTAGAAGTTGACCGTTAGTGGACATGTGATCCATCCTAATACGTTAATAACTCTGAGACGAGCAAAGGTTATTTAATTAATTTAGGTGTAGCTACCTAGGCACCAGCTTTCTCCAAGTATTTTGGACCTTATCCAGAGAAAACAATAACAACAAAAAACAACACGGGACCTGCAAAAAACATGTCTGCGAAGGCGGGTTTCTGCAGAACTCGATGGGCGCTGCCTTTCCCTTGATTCCTGAGGATCATTAGTCGTCACACACGTCGTGACAGCCGCTAAGCTTGATTGCTTGGCTTGTACCGCATGTCGCGACGTCGCGACGCACGCGGCGAGCGTGCACAGTTTGTTGACTGGGGTGGACAGTATTGTCTTATCTCGGTTGTTGTTGGCAAACATTTTACATTTTTGCTTATTGTGGTTTAGTGGGAAATCCCCACTTGGCTGCTAAAATTTGAATTGTTGCTCCCCTTTCAACGTCAACCAAGTTATAGTTAGTACTCTTAGGCAAATTCGAGTTTCGTTTCAAGGGTTTGTTTCAAGCGCCCCCCACCTTCGGATTGCTTCCATAGTTGGATGCTTCTGTGAGCGCAGAAAAGGGGTGACAGCACCTGGGCTTGAACCTGGAGGGCCTGGGCTTTGAGTTTCCAAGACATAAAGAAGGGTACAAGCTATGCAAGAGGGAAGGTTTGCCTAACGTCCGATGGCGTTGCCCAAGATTTGCCAACCGAGGACGTGTTGCGGACTCAGGAAGGGTTGGCCATTCGGTTCGCTGGAAGTCCGGACCCAGCGGCGCCGGTTCAGCGACTTTGGGAAGTTTGTGCGGGAGGATTTTTTTCATGGACCCCCTACATGGGTTGCACATTGCACAGACTGGATTTTTGCAATCTGATCCTTTTCATCAGCTAAGATTCACTGGGCAAATGAAATCGTGACCTCGCAAAATAGGGTGGTTTTGTTTGGCCCCCTTAAATCCAATCAGAATCGAATCGGGAGTGCTCTTATGATCATTTCTGACTTGCCCCATGTCTGGCAGATTCGGTAGACGCACCTGCAAACAAATAGTCACGTCAATGGCTCGTCTTCTTTAGGTTGGCCCCCCAAACTGCTGTGGTTGTCCTTTTGGTTTCCCTTTAAAACCATCAACAAGGGGTACCCCCAAAATAGACACTCCTTTAAATCCACAGCAGCTTTGATGATTGCTCTGCTCAAACACCTTGTAATCTGACATATTGGAAGGCTCCGCCCAGATGGGTTTGCCTAGTTGCTGTTTTAAACCGCAAGCAAATTGCATTTCGAGCAAGGTGATTGTTTCCCCTTTGTGGGTGTTAAGGATACTGTTTTTTGTTTCCCTGTTGGTGATTAAGGGGATCTATCGCTACTGGACATACTTGTTGTTGTGCCAGGGGCTTAAGCAGATGTGACACGTGATGATGAATGATGCAGCCTCGACAGACTTCGCCAGCTCCAATTGAGAATCACGCAAGCCAAGCTGAAGCTTAGAGCCTGCCTGAAGCTTTGTTTGCCACTGCGCATCAACATGCTTTCAAAACCATGGCGCACCTTCTTCCCTCCAGACAGCATCAACATATTGTTGGTTTTGTTTGTTTTGTGTGGCAACCGTTGGTATGGACCATGTTTCTCGTTGCCCCATTTTTCTCCGGACTTACCCCGCCATATTGCCCCCAAGGCTCTTTTGTTTTTTCGTCCCTTGCCAAACACTCGCCTCCGGCCAAGGCTCTGTTTCACCTCGATGGGTGCGTCTTTGGTTGGGCTTTAAAGGGGGACCACCAGGGAAAACCACCATTTTGGGGCTCCAACCCCAAAAAGACGAGGCGCCCACCATTTTGGGCGTCCCAACAAGGACGAGAAACCCGCCATGTGGTCCAGCCCCAAAAAGCGACGAGCCCAGATCCTTCCGACCTCGCCAGGTCCTCGCGGAGCACCGGGGCCACCAACGGAACCTCCAAGCGCGCCAGGAGACCACCCGGCCGGAGCCGAGGGAGGGCGTGTTGAAGCCTGGCTGGGCGGTGTTTCTTGGGTTGAGACGGTGGCCGAAAGAAGACAACCACGGTTTTGGGCAAAAGGGGGGTTCGTTTTACGGTTGGAGAACAAAAACCGCGGGACGGCGCTGCATAGCTGTTTTTTTTTTTTTTTTTTTTTTTTTTAATGAGGGCGAAACCAGCTGCAAGATGGGCTTTCCTTGCAAGACTTTTGCTGCCCACGCCGCAAGTGGGTTGATGTTGTTGGAGGAACCTCCTGAACGGGTTTTTCTTCTGGCAAAGAGCACTTTCGGCTTGTTGACCCAGTCGGGTGGAAGTGTTTGAAGGTTGCCCTTTAGCGCGAGTCGTGAAACCATCAACACCTCGGAGGAGCGGCCAGGAACAGCCAGAAACTCATAACAGGTGTTGATTGTGACTCACGCCTCATTTAAGTGCTTGTTGCCGGTGAGCTATTCCTATTCGACTGCGGGGATACGTCTGAATGGTTTGGGATGGTTCCTTTTGGCGGTCCGAGAGGTAGGACGTCATCCGCCCAGAAACTGATCGCCCACCTGCAGATGGATAGCAAAGCAGTCAGCACGTTCCTCCAAAGTTTGCGGCATTTCGCAGACATCGATGTTGTGGCTGAAAAGTGGGCGTCAGGAAGATGACGCATGGATGAAGCCCCACGACAACAATGGAAGCTATCAATTGGTGCAATATTTTGCTCCATCCACAGGTTGGCACCCTTCCAGGGGGGGAGTGTGCCTTGGCGGCGCATGCCCGTTCCAGATCGGTTTTGGATGACGTTGTCAACTTCCAATGTGGAAAAAGGTTCAATACCCTCGAAAAAGAGGATCATTGCTTACAGTTTGATTGCCTCTGGGCAAGAAAGATAGGAGCTCACCCATCTGGAGGTGCAACGAGCTTGGCCCCGTGATGAAGGTCTCCCTCATTTCCACTTTGGGAATTGAAGTGTTTTGCCCAGAATGCAATCCATAGGTTTCAGTCTGATTCGAATCACTTGCCAGAGGGTACCATTTTTGGATTGTGCTTAAAGGGAAGCCAGGCGGTGGTATGGAGTAGACCTGCAAGGGCAGTTCAAATCCTTCCAGGTACCACCAAGACCGCTCAAGCCGTCTCGCGGAAACCTGAAAACCGTCCGGGTGTTTAAAGGGACAAGCCCCACTTGGGTCTGTCCCTTGTTTGAGGCTACCGCTGGTTTGGTGGTTTTAAAGGACCACCGAAGCCATGGGGCCCACTGGACGTTAAGAGGGATGCACCAAAATGGGGCATAGGGGGTTCTCAACATAGGGATCCCCTATGGTCCATTCCTCTTAGTTTCCATAGGTGTCCTTTTTAGGTTAGTTTGGTTAAAGATTGATGGGTTCCACTGGAGATGGGGTTATGCCCCATTTACCAGGCCCATCTATTTTTTCTTCGAAAGGCCACCTACGTTGGTTTCTCTTCCAAAGGTTTTTCAAAGGAAAAGCCCGTGAGATTTGTCTAACTCGAGGACACCGAGGAGTCGCTGCGGCTGGCGCTGTCCGTGCATGCCAGGGCACAGCCGCTCGGAAGAAGCCAAAGGAGGCGCTCGGATCTTCTTTTTCCCCCGGAGCCCAAAGAGGGGGCGTTGGACAAGGTTTGAGGGTTAGAACAAAAAGGGACAGGGTGGAAGAAAAAGGTTCCGAGGGTTAAACAAAGGTTCAAACCGTTGTCATTTTCCAGCAGATTCCTCTAGAAAGCGGTGTGTTTTGGGTTCCATGAACGAACCTGCAGGGGAGTGGTGGCTTGAACATATTCGCTCAGCGCCCTACGTTTGCCCGCGCGTTTCCCGCCCGGCCCGGCCCCTCGCAACCCGAACGGTACCAACCTAAAGAGGCAGTGGTGTTGGTACCAAAGCCACCTCCCAACCTTTAAACTACAAGTAGGAGCCCCCGATTTAAGTGAGCGTGGAACTGCCAGCCCTGTCCCGGTCCTGGAAGATTTTCACCCATACCCCAGCGGGGAACAAAGAGGTAGCTCAACTAGGTCCCCCAGTAGCGCCCTTTTACCCGTTTTTGGGGGAGCGTTCCCCAAGAATAGACTACAGAAAAAAAGAGGGCACCCTTATTCTAGCCCCTCTGGAGGACCTAGTCAACAGAACATCTACGGCAAGCGAGGTGTAGAAGGGGGCAGTCTTGAGGGGCCCCCCTGGACTTAAAGCCTCACAAAAAACTCCGCCCCTTGCGGCCGATTGGCGAACCTGGGCTGCTGTGGGAACACGGCCCAGTGTTTGGCCGAAGGGGGACAAACAGGGTAAACAACAACACATGGTTGTTGTTGGGACACAGTTTGCATTTTTGCTTGTTGTGGTTTGGCGGGAAATCCGCACTTAGCTGCTACGATTTAATTTTTGCTCCCCTTCCAACGTCAACCGAGAAAACCACACACGGGCAACAGTAGCAACCCCCGTGACTCCACAGGCAGGGCCAAGAGTAAGCTTCGCCGGCGGCTTTAGGGACCTTGCTTCTCCCCTCCCCCCAGCTGTTCAGTTGACCATGTTACGTGTGCAGAAGAATATGGCTGTGGGTCAAAACCAATGGTACCATTCTGGAGTAGGTGCACCACCCCTGTGACAACTGCAGGGGCGCAATCTCAATCGCCCCATGTAATTTATTTTAGTGGGGATTGGGATGTTCACTGCGGGTGGCCATATGAATAAACCCTCAAAAGGAATCCCTCGGTCTCAATGCTTCAAGCCGTAAGTCCTCTGTTTTTTTTTTTGGGCTGACATTTCTACACTGCTGAGCGGGTCTTCGGAGCACCCGGGCCTTGTGGATGCTGTGGGTCAAAACCAATGGTACCATTTTGGGGTAGGTGCACCACCCATTTTAGTGGGGATTGGGATGTTCACTGGGGGTACGGGCTTTTGACCGATGGCCAAGTGACAGTTGACAGCTGTTGGCGGTGATCCAAATGACTGTCAGAGGGAATTGGCAAATCGAATCCACCTTTTGACGCGCTGCTTCTTTTTGGAGAATGTGATCTTACTGAGCCCTTAGACAGCGAAATTGTTGGTTGCTATTTTGAGTGTCCTTTTGGTTTACTCCGAGATGATGCTTTCTCTGAAGCCACAAACAAGTACCCACGATTTGGGACTCGGACCCCATTCTCCCATGTGTCCTTTGCAGGTCGGACCCCCCCTCGCTGTCCCTCTCGGTTTCCCTGGAACAAAAAGGGGTACCATTAAATTTTTGCGGCCCCAGATCCCGTTTTGTTTTTTCCCCCTTTCAAGAGGGCCCCCCGCCCCGGGGAAAAGACGCCCTAGGGACGTCAGAAGGGTCGAAACCGGGCGCTCGCCCGCAGGCACTGCGCGGCGCGGAGGGCGCGGATCTCGCCGCCGCCGCTGCAGGGCGCTCCGCTGAGGCGCGATTTGGAGTCGCGGTCTTCTTGTAGGTCCCCCAGCGAACGATGCCCTTTTTGGCCCCCCATTTTTCGGGTTGGGAGATTCGGTTCTACT